AGGCTTCGTAGCGCTGGTGGCTTGTATGATCCTCCATATTTGACAAAAAGACATGACTCACCCGCTAGCAAAATGGAAATGGGGAGCAAGACGAGGTATTCACTACTTTGAAAATGGCTAGTTTTGCGGGCAGATGGGGATGTAAGCCTCTGGATTTCTAGTTCCAGCTCCATTCCCACTTTTGCGAGGCAGATTAGACATGTTGGGACGCTTTGAACTAGCTGGGTGACTGGATACTATGAAGCTCGCTGTGTGTGCTTCAGAGATGTGCGAGTCCAATGCACGTGCATGTTTAACCAGTTATTATACAAATTGTGCGTATATGTACATACTTGTACTTGGACATATTCGTATTCGGTTGCGTATACATATATATATATATATATATGGTACCCCCCCCAGTACCCAGGTGTTGTTGCATCATGTATCAAAACCATTGATATTTACAGTGTATGTTGATTGAACTCATGCATTTTCTGCAAGGCCATTTTGTGGACCGAAAAACAAACAAAAAGACAAAAAAACAAAAAAACAAAACCAAAAAACCAAAAAACCAATCCTAGCCCCCACCATGGCTGGGATTCTTTGGTTTTTGGGTTTTGTTTTTTTGGTCCAGGGAAATGTTGCGCAACAAATTCCAAATGTTGCGCAACATTTGCGGACCATGAGAGGATATGTGAACCTTTGTGAAAGAAGGCATGTTCTGGGTGAGAGGATATATGTGAATTTTCTGTAGTCAGGGTTACAGTGATTCATAAAAGTACAGCAAAAGACAGTAAATATCATGTAAAACCACCATGTATGTAACACAAACTGTCCCAGCCATAGCCTGGTTTTATTCTACACAGGGTTCACTTTCCTTGGCAACTCTTTCACATATGCTGCCTTTGTTTGATTGAAAGAAGACATGTAAAAATACATGTGTTGGGTGAGAGGATGTGAATTTTCTGTGGAAGAGTCTTTGAAACAAGGCATGGTTTGTGTGGGAAGATATGTGAATTATCTGTGGAAGAGCCTTTGAAATAAGGCATGGTTTGTGTGGGAAGATTTGTGAATTGAATTTTGTGTGGAACAGCCATTGAAAAAGGGCATGGGTTTGGTGAGAGGATATGTGATTCCTTGCGAAAGAAGGCATGCACAAAGACATGTTTTGGGTGAGTGGATGAAAGAATTGTCTGTAGAGAAGAGTTATTGAAAAGACATGCTTTGTGTGAGATGATATGTGAATATTCTGTGGAAGAGTCTTTGAAAGAAGGCATGGTTTGTGTGGGAAGATATGTGAGTTTTCTGTGGAAGAGCCTTTGAAAAAAGGCATGTTTTGGTGAGAGGATATGTGAACCTTTGTGAAAGAAGACATGTTCTGGGTGAGAGTATATGTAAATTTTCTGTAGAAAAGAGTTATTGAAAAAGACATGTTTTGTGTGAGAGATCATATGTGAGTCTTTGTGGAAGAGTCAGGGGTTACAGTGATTCAAAAAGTACAGCAAAAGACACTAACTATCATGTAAAACCACCATTTATGCAATAGAAACTGTACCAGCCATAGCCTGGCTTTATTCTACACAGGGTTCCCTTTCCTTGGCAACTCTTTCACATATGCTGACTTTGTTTCATTGAAAGAAGACTCATTGAAAGAAGACATATAAAAAGACATGTGTTATGGTTTGTGTGGGAAGATATGTGAATTTTCTGTGGAAGAGCATTTGAAAAAAGGCATGTTTTTGTGAGAGGATATGTGAACCTTTGTGATCGAAGGCATGTAAACAGACATGTGAGTTTTTGAAAAGACCTGCTTTGTGTGAGATGATATGTGAATATTCTGTGGAAGGGTCTTTGAAGAAGGGGTTTGTGTGGGAAGATATGTGAATTTTCTGTGGAAGAGCCTTTGAAAAAAGGCATGTTTTGGTCAGAGGATATGTGAACCTTTGTGAAAGAAGACATGTTCTGGGTGAGAGGATATGTGAATGTTCTGTAGAGAAGAGTTATTGAAAAACACATGTTTTGTGTGAGATGATATGTGAGTCGTTTTGGAAGAGTCTGGGTTACAGTGATTCATAAAAGTACAGCAAAAGACAGTAAATATCATGTAACACCACCATTTATGTAGCACAAACTGTCCCAGCCATAGCCTGGCTGTATTCTACACAAGGTTCACTTTCCTTGGCAACTCTTTCACATATGCTGCCTTTGTTTCATTGAAAGAAGACATGTAAAAAGACATGTGTTGGGTCAGAGGATGTGTGAATTTTCTGTGGAAGAGTCTTTGAAACAAGGCATGGTTTGTGTGGGAAGATATGTGAGTTATCTGTGGAAGAGCCTTTGAAAGAAGGCATGGTTTGTGTGGGAAGATATGTGAATTGAATTTTGTGTGGAAGAGCCCGGAAGAGCCATTGAAAAAGGGCATGGGTCACGTCCAAGGCGTCTTTCTTCAATGAGGCAAACCTCCTTCCTCTGGTCTCCCAGTATGCAAATCTGAGCTATTCTTCCTGCCTGCTTCCGCGGTCAAAGCACATCTGAACCAAGCCCAAACCTGGGTACCTGGGGGGGGGGGGTAGCATATATACATATATATATATATACACATGCATACACATATGCATACACATGCATATACATATGCATACACATATGCATATACATACGCATATACATATGTGTGCATAGACATACATTTATACATACACACAATTGTGTTTGTACGTGCATGTGTGATTCTCATATATGTATGTATGTATGTATATATATATATACATGAACACATGTAAACCCACAGCAATTCCCTGACTTCATTGCAGGGGTGCTGGCGGTGCTGCTGTGGCTCATGTGGCATTTCGGCAGACACCGGCGGTCCGGGCCGGGAGTTTCCCAGGCTTCCACCCAACCGAAGCGGCTTCTGAGAACCGAATCGAAGCTTTTGTACCGAGATTGTTCAAGTCCCCCTTCTCAGGTTGAGTGGCTGAACAAAAGCATCAACAGACATCAAGGGGAAAAGGAGCAGAGAAACAAAGAAACAGTTGAACTTGAGTCAGGGATGGGTAAGGGTCTCCAGCTGACGACTTAAGGGGCTTACCAGCCATCAATATGAGGAATTCGGTTGAGATATACGGCTGTCTTTTTTGGACTGGTTGGGACATCTGAATTTACTACACAAATCAAGGGGCTGTCCATTTTTGAATCGCATAGTTTGACACTGGCTCATATCAGAAGCTTGCTTGTTCCCCAATGTGCAAAAGGGCGCAAGCAAAGTTGGGTCAAGCCACCAGACTATAGACATTTCAAAGGACCACCAGAATGAGTTCATGTCAAAACAGACTGTGTTTTCTGGCCATGTTTGAAGAAACCCCACCCTACTTCCATACCCCTCGGTCCGACTCGGTTGGACGTAAAGGCACCGGACCACCCCTGAAAGGGACCCTCCCTCAAAAGGAAACCTCCTTACACAACCCCCGAAACAAGGACCCCCTGAGGCCTGTTGAGGAAGACTCAGACCCCCTGAGGCCCCTTGAGGAAGACTGCTCTCATCCCTGAGAGACGAGCCCCAAAGCGGAGCTGCGGCTTCCGGGCTCCGCATTCGAGGCTTTGCAGCGCGCCGGTCCAGCACCACCAGCGCCACGTGCAGAAGGCCGGGCGCCCCTGGGGCCCTGCGGGTTGCGGCGCCGGTTGCGTGCCATCGGGGTAGCACGGTATGCAACCCGTAGGGTCGTATTTTAGGAAACCAGGGGGGATGGGGTTGGAACCCAAATCCTGTTTGTCATTTGGTTCTTGTAGTATGTTTTTCGTCTTTTTTGTGTTTTTTTTCCGCAGAGATGTTCCTTTCGGTGCTCCTTCAACAGGTGTGACTTGTTCGGATCTCAAACCGTGTCAAAACTCCCTTCTTGGATAGTGAAGCCAAAAGGAGGCGTCACCTGAAGGGCAATTGCGGCCGTTCTCGTCGAGCGGGGAGGGTTGCCCTTTCACAACCAACACAGCAATTGCCGGTGATCGCCGCCTGACTTTGGATTGGCCGTCCCGGTTTTCTGTTCTGCTGGAGGAGACCCGAGTCGAGGGTTCTGGAGTTTTGGTTTGAACCAAGGGCGATGCTATATTTGTTGTGCTGGGCAAGCTGCATTGAAAGTTGTCCTCGAACACTGCACATTATTTCGAAGGTTGCCCTTGCCTAAGCTGCAGCTGCATCAGGTTCAACGCATTAGTTTGCATTTGATCACAGGTTGAGCCGTACTGATATGATACTACAGCACACATACATATATATATATTCGCACGTGTCACATGCATGAGTGTGTAGTACATAGCTTTGGTATGATGTCTGAATCGAGATGATCTCAGTTTAGAATTTTTCAACAGACATATTCACCGATCTTGCTTCCGCAATGCAACTGAAACTTGGTGAGGTCTGCTTGCACCCAGGACCACTGACTCTCGCTGGGCGATCTGCCAAAAAGTCAAGCGCCGGTGTGAAGCTTGGGGCCAAGGGCATGCCTGGGGGGATTTCCACATGGGTGTGCCTTTCTAGGGGACGCCCCCCAAATGGTGGTTTGCTTGTTGGTTTCCCTTGCAAACCGCCCAAACAGGGGGACACTAAAAACAAACATACTCAAAATGGCTGTTGGTCAAAAATTGGTACACATTTGGAACCCTAAATGGAACATAGACCAAGTCTACTAAATATGTGCGATCCAATTCTTGGTGGTTTGATTTTGACCCATACCCAAATGGCAATGAATTTCAATTGGGAACCTCGCAAGTGGTTGCTGGACATGAGTCCCGGCCAGACTTTGTGGACCATGGGTCCTGTCAGTCCAAGTGCCACGGCTCTACTGGGCTTCGAGGGAAAGCCGCTGCTACCTCCCTGCTGAGTTGGCAGACTGGAATCTTTTGGTTGTAGGTGTCTGTCTCATTTGAGTCAAACTGTGGGGCTTGAGCTTTTCTGAGCAGTCGGCCCTGGTCAGTTTCCCGGCAGGTCAGTCTAAGAACCACTTCTGTCTCGCGCGCATTTCCGCAGCATGGTCTGCTCATGAAAGCTCAGCTTGCAAGCTGAAGAGGGGCGCGGGCCTCAGGTTCTGACAACTGGGGTCCGTTGACTTTGAAGATGCAGCTGGAGGTGGGCCGCCTTTTGAGATTCATGGCCCGGTCTTTGAAAAAGAGTTTTACTCGTGCGCTGAGTAGGGGAAGGGCCCCTGCCCTTGGAAGGATATTAGGTTTCTTTCGCTTGAACCTTCCACTTGGGAGTGACTTTTTGGCAAACTCAAGGTGTGGTTGGTTGCTGACCTGATTCTGATCACTGTTTGGACCAATTTCGGGGGGAGTTTCATCTTTGGGGGTAGGGAGTATAGGGAGCCTGAGTTCTGACTCAGCTTGCTTGGCGCGAGGTCGGGTTGCAGGCGATGTACTCTACGCAGGGCTACTCTGACCAGCAGCCGCCTTGCTGGCGCCTTTGTAGAAATCGGAATTCAGAAGCAGTGGCTCGCAAAGCTGTGCCTGGGTCAAATGGGACCTCACAATGGCAGCGTGACTTTGTAGCTGGGGTGCTTGTTTGTTTGCGTGTTTTTTGTTTTGACATGGCCCCTTGCTGGGGCTGGAAATCTTTCAGGAGGGTCTGTGCTTGCACATTCACGCTTGCTGACAATCCTGCCTCAGTTTGCGCCGTCTCTTGGCGCCGTCTAGTCTTCAAAGTTCTGCAGGCTGTAAGGCAAAATATTAGCCATGCTTGAAGCCTGTGATATTCGAGTCAATAGTCCTACTTCGTGGAAGCGTATATACAAGTCAAAATCGCTATACAGGGAGGGGGAATCGTGACGAGCATGCATTCAGGATATGAGGTACTGTAGACGTGGGCTTTCGCGGGAGGGGGCTGAGGGTTCTGAACATGTGGCATCGCTCTCATTGCGGGCTGGCCTCGCCAGGGATTGTGAATATGTGTCGGTGTGCGCGACGTAAACCAAGTTTGCCTCCAAGGAATTGCAACAAGCTGTACGTGTGCAAGAGATTGCGAGACACATTCATACTCTGGGTGTTTCCTGAGAGGGGCCGGCCAGAATCACATCCCATATGGGTTGTGACGGGATTTGCAGCACATGTTTGAGCAGAGTCAAACTTCGGAAGACGCGGATACTTGGGACGGACGCCAACCGTCTAGTCTGAAGGTTAGATACTCACAAGTGGGTGCGTCTCTTTTTAGGGTAGACCATTTCCAAAATACACATAGAGGAATCTCCTTTTGGGGAACCCCTGGATCTTGTTTTAGGTTTCTTAACTGAGTCTCCCCTTGCGGAGAATTCGCGGTGGCAATTGGCAGACGCCAGGCTGACGCAGCCAGCGGGTGGCCCATACTCGAGTGGCTATGACAACAGAGCTGGGGCCGGGGCCCTTCTTTGCGCGATTCGGCCGTGGACTTCTGCCGGGAGTTTGCAGAGCTCGATGGTGACAACTGCAATGCGGTTTGTTTCAGTCTGACTCTTGTGTCTTGCGCAGATTCGGCTGGCCAGGAGAGCTAGCTTCATGATGTGTCTCGGGACTAGGCATCATGCGATATTTCCAACAAAAGGCTGGCGAGGCGGGTGGTGCCATGGAATGCCTTGGTTTCCTTATGATCCTATCCTGCTACATTGGGTCCCCAAAGTGTTTTTCAACATCATTTTCAGAAAGGTTCTCAGGTTTCGAGCAAACATGTATTGCACCAACCATGCCATGGACGTTGCATGACAGCGGGTTTTCCTTCAGACATCCACTTGCTGGGTGCTCAGGAAATGGAATGAGAAATGGACTGATCGATTTCAACCATCCCACATGGTTTCCAATTTATTCGGGAATCCCTAGGTTCAATTTGTTCATTCCCTACCTATGCCGCCACCAAGACTCGCATTGCTCCGCCTGCCAGTGCTGAGGCCGGCGGCCTTCCGGCCCAGGGTGGCTACCCGCCTCAGGGGCCTTACGGCCAGCAGGGCCCCTATGGGAACTACCCCTACCCGCAGCAAGGCGGGAACGGGGAACTGGGGGGGGGGCAAGTGCTCGGGAACGGGACACTTTTTCCGCGGATGCCGCAACTCATGTGGGAGCGAGCTGAATCTTGTTTCGGGAATCAACTGTACGCAGGGCTACCACCCAACACGTTAACATGGAAATCCTTTACGCTTCTCCATGTTCTCCCGATTTTGGCGCCTCACGCCGCGTTTGATTAGGCAGAAGTGTCATCATGCCAAATGAACAGCTGCATTGCTCCTAAAGAAGGAGGACAGAGGAGTCATCTTTCACCATTGCCAGGGCTCTAGCCTTTCTTTTTTGTGGCCAATGGCTCGCAGACCGATGTCCACGCGTGTCCGATTCAGTTCTGAACCGCCTGTTTTGCCACGTGCCAGCACGGGTTTCGAGAAAGGCGCAGCTAGGAGTGATCGCGAGAATTTCTGACATGGTCCAGAGTGGCTTGAGGCTTGCCTCACTCGCGCCTCAAGTTTGCTCTCAAGGTTGTCATGAGCCATGTCGAACCTATCAATGAACCTGCCCAGGCAGGCCTGTCAAAGGGCATTCTCATGCAACAGCTGCCTTGGATCCGGTGTCTAAACAAACCCAATAAATTGCTTGAGGGTGCTACAACCCTGGTCATGCTACAACCCTGGTTTTGATGACATTGAAATAGGCATTTTGTTTGTAGTGCCGCCTACTTTTACCCAAGTGTGGCACTGGGCTTTATCAGCCTGATACATCAATCCATATATTTGGAGCATTGAGGGGTCGCCAAAAAGCTATCGCACATCCTTGCACGCCAAATGAGAATGTCCCCATGTTCCGTTTACAGCTTTGGGTCTCTCGCGAAGCAACAAGCCAAACTGTTCAGGCAACAATGGCTGCCAACCGGGGTGATGTTTGCAGGTTGGAGGGGGACCAGGGCCGGGCCAAGCCTTCAAGCATGTTTAAACTGCTTAAACAGCTGCTCGTGTTGGCTTCCCTGTCTGACCCTTTGTTTGTTCGCGTGGGAAACAAACGGGTTTGGTTTCCCAAAGAAGCAAACCCAACCCGAACCTGGGAACCGCTTGGGTTCCGGTCGCCAGGCGGGCCGCAAGGTGGCGGTACCAAGGGCCTTCCTTTGAACCCAGACTGGAGCGGGATGCAGACAGATTTGGGTGCGGCGCAGAAACTAAAGAGGTGGGGTTACGCAGGTTGCAGTCTTTGTTCCCATAAACCAAGGTGCCATTGACTTCTTTTTGAGCCACAGCCATTTGGGCAGGGGATTTGGTTGGGCAGGTTTCGGTAGGGGGGGGCGTTGGTTGAGTGGCAAGTGAAAAACCTATCTCAGCTGAATCGCGGATATAGGTAAATTTCGCGCCGGACATATTGCGCACGTCGCGCACGCGAGGATGCGCATGTGTGCTGGTGTGTTCCCATTCAAAAGAAACGATGTATTTCAAGTGTTTGACCTTGACTTGCTGCCTTTCTTGAACAATGCGCTTGCACATTACAGACTGATTCAAGACTCATTGCTCACGTGGTGTGGGACCAACACAGTCCCACCGATCAATGCCACCACTTGTTGCGTGGAGAACTGAGTGGGTGAACTCACACAGGGCATGGCTCCCATGTCCCGTCAAATTTCAATACCTGCCTTTTTTGGGGCGCTTGCATTTTTGTGACACATACCGCGTGGTTCAACCGACCTTCAGGTTCCTGGTGCATGACGGCATTCATGTCGAGCTAATCTGATAGTTGTTGTGTTCCTGAAGGAAAGGATCATTCCCAAATTGATCCCCTCGCAGACTTGACACCTGCTAGATCCAGCAAGGGTGCACAAATCCTGGGTGCCCATTAATCAGGGCTTGAATGAAAAAGCAAGGGCATCAATCAAACCAGTGCAAAGCCGTGGATTTGCGGTGCTTTTTGGGGATCGGGGCAGTGCTGCGAGAGTGAGGGGCCAAACTAGATGAAACATTATGTTTTTTCCACCAAGAGGACACAAACGCTTTGCGGGGTAATGCTCAAGACAGTCTAAGAGCACCTGAGAGGTGAAGGATTGCCAGCAGATACCGCGAAACATTTGAGTGATGGGATCGAGTCATCCTGCAAGAATAGCACAAAGGCATTTGTGAAGTGGCTGAAGAACTCTTTTGCGTGGGGTTGGTAGGGATGATCATAAACCCCCAAAGACGGAGTTTAGGCAACCAGCAAGGATTTCAGTTCATGAACCCTGAACTTGACGCACATGCATGGCATCCACGAACTCTTTCAGTCTTTTGGGGCGGCCAAGTTGCATGTTCGCATTCCGACAAGAAATGGATTCAATGGATCATGCTTCTTCTCCAGGAGCTTCGCGTTCTTCGTAGCGGCGTGCTCAACAATGCGCGCAACCCAGCAATGGTACAGATTGATGTGGCAATCCTTTTGAATATGCAGGCGGGTGGGCGAGCATCATAAAATGGAAGTGTTTGTTTAACTTTTCCTGCTGCCTCCACCATTCCAGGTAATCCTTAGTTGGTGGTTTGGATTGGGGGTTTGGATTTGGGTTTGAACCCCTGGTTCTTGTTCAACATGGGAAACCACCCCTTAACCACGACGAAACCGCCGATTCGGCTCCAAACCACCGATTCGGCTTAGTGGAAAACGGATCGCCAGGGCGGTCACCGGGTGAAGAGGCTTCATTTTTCTAGAGGTTGATTCCCCATTCTTTTCAGCCATCGTTCTTTTCAAAAGCCCGCCATTTCCCCAGGGTTTTTGGTGGTTTTCTAGAAAGAAGGATCCCTGAAAAGAATGGGGAAGTTACCCCTATTTTTGTTTACGCAGAATACCTACTGTCCAAAAGCTGCAGATTTGTCCTGACCAGCGGTGTGTCAAGGGTCACATGTACATCGAGTCAGAGAGGGCGAATAACCGCCCCGTGAACATTTCTTGAATTGGGGAACGTGGCTGACCCCATTTGTATGTCCACTTTGTGGAAACATGGAATTGGAGACCTTAACCCCTCCCTTGGGCGTTGGGGGTGGGGAAGAGGGTGAATCCACTGAATACTCTTTGGGGATTGGAAGGCTCATCGGGAATACCCAAATTCACGGTCACGAATAGATCTCAAGCACGGATCCAGCAAAGGACGCCATGGGCCATCCAGGCCGAACCTTTTTTTGTGTGCCTTGCATTCTAAGGCTGACATTTAAACATGACAGCGAGTCCCAGAGAATAGACTGGATGTGCCATGTTGAGGGCTTTTCAAGACAAATCAGGGGCCTGGGGGAAGCAGGGATGTGGCGCCTTTTGTTTTCCTTGACTTTCCAAGGTTTTGGATTCTCTTGGGCACATGGCAGGGTTCCCACAAGCAAAGCGCACTAAAAGAACATCTCTTGTTTGCCATGCACTAGGGTTCTCCACCTCTGTCAAAAGATAAAGCGATGCAAGGTGTGTTTATTCTAGTCTCTTTTCAGATCAACATGCCCCCCCCCCCGCCCCCCACCACTTTGGGAGGGGGGGATTCGCTCCTTTGTTGAATTTGCAGATACACCTTCACACTCCATCGCTTCATTGCGATTTCGCAATTTCGCCGAGGCTGGGAGCCTTCATTGGGGGCCTGTGCCTCTTTTTCTCTTTTGAGCTGGGAGCCTCAGTGCCGGGCAGACAGCTCCCATAGCTATGTTAGCTTCACCCCAAATGGTGTGGGTAGCAGTGTCCCAAAACCGGAACCTCGTGAGGGCGGCCCAACGGTCATCCCTTGTGCTTGCGGTATTGTCCATGGGCGTGGTTCCAGTAGACCTCAAATGATGTCCTGTACGCGTTTCGGCCATGTCACTTTGCCACATAGAGCAAGCCATGAGACGGCAGCCAGCGGTTGGCTGAGATGGCATAGATCAGTTTCAGAAGAACAAATACGAAGACAGTACACACACACACACTGAAGCTACTTAGCCCCAGCTTCTCGCACCTGCAGCTGTCTTGGATTTGACGTCCATGTTCTGATGTGGCATGCCGATCACGGTCGTTCTTTTGCCTAAGTCAGAAGTTTGCATTTGTTGCCCAGTTGTTGCCTGTTGATGCACCAGGTTTTCTGCAGTGGATCCAGTGAATAGATGCGGTTCTGAACTGCCACATGACATGATGTTCGGATAGAGCTGGCACCTGGTAAGTGATACATAGTGTATCATGTCTATAATCCATGGCAGACTTCGCCAAGATGGGTTGTGATTCCTCTTTCCTTAGTTCCACTCTGATGCTTCTGAGGCAATGCCATGTGAGCTGTGCCCATTCAGGATGATGAACAAGGGGGCAGATTGAGGTAAACAATTGTAGTCACCAGGTTGGTGCAAACAACCACGATGGTTTGCTGTCTTGTTGGGTGTGTTAGTAAGTGTATTAATTGTGCCTCCCTTGAAGTCTTGCCGCCTGTCTTTTTTCTTGCTGATATTTGGCGGCGCCACTCTTGAAAACGGGTGGCTGCCGACTGTGCACGCAGCCGTTAAGCTTTGTCGAATTGTTGCATTAACACTTTAGTCGAGATCAGGTGTGGAGATTGCAGAGGCTAAGCCATGCTCACTTCAGGCGTTGCTTCCTTTGTCTTGTCCAGCCGCTTCCTGCAAGGTGGCGCCCAAGGGTACAGCCGCGGGACCGTTGATATTTTTTCCTGTAAACTGATGCGAAAATAATATGAGCCAACTGGTTTCACTCGCAGCGCGGAGGCTAGTAGACTTTCTGGAGATGTGCTACATCCTGCTTTTTGGCGGTGCCTGGGCAGAAGGGTGTGGCAAGTTGTCAGCGCCCTTCGGATATGCGAGAAAGTATTGTCTTTGAGGATAATATTTGTTTGGGGCGTGGGGCGTGTAGCTGAATTGCTTGGAGAGGGGAGAGGGATTTCATGTTCGCTTCCCTTGACTTGGATGGAATTGACTGAACTGGCAAGATGCATGATCTGGACTTCTGAACCTACAGGGATCAACCTTCTCAGTGCATTCAAACCAGTCATCCGCACAAAGCGCGAAAGTGCGAAACACTCCACTGTTAGCGGTCGAGGGCCAACTCGAGGTGTACCACGATGCCCGGATCGGAAGCCAGTTGTGCAGGATCCTTTCGCGCTCTGTGTGTTGGAATTAGCCAAGGTGGGTGTGAGCTTTGCATGAACCCTTTCTAGCTGCTTTAAGTAGGGGGGTTCTACCAGGTACTTGATCCGGTTGGGAACATTTTTGCAAGGGCCGAACAACTTTGTAGCCACCTGCGTAAAACCAATTAATGAGTTTTGGCCGCTCTGTTTGGCCTCCGCACGCTCGGCATGGTGTTCAAAGCAAACAGTGAAAAGGATCCGTATTTTCCTCTACTCTGTGTGACAGAAACTTGCAAGGGGTGCACGCATGATGCCTGTTGCCGAACCCTACGTTTAGTTGGGTGTTTCTGTGACATTCCATTTCTGGAAAGCAAGTTCGCGGGTTCCCACTCATTCTCGGGTGCTTGAGCTCACCCAGTTTTTTGGGGAGCGGGGTTGGGTTTTCGGATGAATATGTTGGCATGGACGGACCCATGCTCATGGGATTGGGATGTGAGATATCTGTACAATCATCCTTCTAGCTTTCCGGGCCTCGGCTGGCTGCTCCGTTTGTACTGAGAACGACCTACAAGCTGCATCGCTTGGGCACACAGCGAGGGCTCGAATAAGGTGGCATCAATGTATGGCATTGACGCTTGCTGGTGGCTTGCAAAGCACGCTATTGCGAGTTCAGCGGCCGTGCGCAAACGCAATTTGTTTAACAATCTTGGAAGTGGTGCTGGGAAAGTTCAATGTCCAAAATTCGTAGTCAAGCTCGCTGCTCAGTCTTTGCCGAATCGTCAGTGACGATTTCCCCTCATGCTGCTCTCTTCGATGGGGCAAGCAGGAAGTCGCGCAAATTCTTGTTCCGCCTGCGCAATTCGCAAAGAGGCCTCGATCGTCGACCTTGCCAAGTGTAGGACACCCTCGCAAAACTGCAGCCCTTGCCAACCTGCCAGGGTTCCAGCCCTGCAATGCTTTCCAATCCACTGCCCACGCAAGTCTGCCAAACTGCAGCCCTGGCAGGTTCTTGCATGGTCCTTGGGAGACGTCTTCCATGGAATCAACAGGCGAACGCAGGGCTTTCCAACTGCCGGGATGGACATACACAAGGAGGCACAGCGAAAGTTTGAGGCTTCCAATTCCCAAGCCAACTGGATAGCTTTTTTTGAAGAATTGTGTTGTTTTACCTTGGTTGCCTACTATTGCGATAATTCGGCTCACTGGGAAAGGCATGATAAAAGATGAGGTATGGCATGGTGCCTTCGCCTGAGGTGTTCTGGCTGTGATGGACACGCCCTGCCTCAAGACCATGAAGACAGCGCTACTGGCTGGTGTTTCGGTGGGAGGCTAACTGGCTGTGGGTCTGCACCTTCCCTTACAGGCCCGTGGCCGTTTGGCATGTTTCTTGACTGCTATAGGGTTGGTTCTTTAGACTTTAACTTTTTGGGAAATCAAGAGGTTTTCCACTAAACCCCCAAAGCTAAACTTTTTGCAGGGGGGTCGTTGCAGCAACCAAGGTTTTTGCTTTGTTGTTTTTCTTATCGACCGTTGATTGAACTCGGCGGATTGGCTCATGCCACTGCACCCAGAACCATGAAGCATTGATGCCAAGGTTGGATTCGATGTGGCGGCCAAGGCATGAACAGCTACAAACCAACAGTCCCTCTGGTTTTGTTCAGCATCTTTGGATCAACGCATTGCCCAACTAGGCATCACCTGAGGAATCACCTGCGATTGCCTTGAATCGTCGCCATGGCCCAACTCATGCCAGCAGATCTGGGTGTAAGCCATCTATGGTTGAGGGAGTGTTGTTAAGGGGTTTATGCTTTTCTTTTGTGGTTCGGCGTTGTTTCTTTAAGGTTGGGACATGGAATTGATTTTGTACGGTTTAGGGTTTGTGGCATTTGGAGCGTGTGGCTTAGCGTTGCCCCCGCCAAAGCAGCACGCGTTTGGGTCTGAAGGGTTATGGTTTGCGTTGCGTGGGGCTTATGTCTTAGGGCTTATGCTTTGATGAGGATAGTCTGTTGAGGTTTCCTTTTCGGGCTTAGGGCCTATGATTGGGCTCTATTTGGTTTCAGGGTTGGTGGCTTGCATGTTCAGGGTTGGTGGCTTGCATGTGCATGAGGGAAGCAATGCCGAAGGCGCACACACCAGGGAACCTTGCCGCGGGGAAGCGCTCTGGCTCCTGAGTTTCAAGTTTTAGGATCTTTGGATCCAACGAGAACGTGGGAAACCCAAAAATCGAATAATTGTTGGCAGAAGTCTGGTGGGTTTGAGATTATTGGATTGTTGGTTCTCCCAGGGAAGTCTTGGCTTTCTTGGTTTTCCATAGGAAACCTGGATTGTTTTATCTGAAAAGCAAGATTAGCTAGGCGCTTCTTGGTTTCTGACCAAGATTTGTTGAAAACACAAGAAACACAATGAATTCTTGGGTGTTGTTGAAAAAAAACAGATAAGGGACACCTCCAGAGAGTCGATTTGGGGGCAAAGCGGCAGCCCTTGTTTTTGCCAAGACCTTTTTCGAAAGTTGATACGGAGAGTCTCCCCCCGCTTCCATTTGGAGAGGTTCGCCCATGTTTACAAGAAGGCAACTTTGCCCATGTTCTGAAGGGCCCACATGCCTTGCGGATCGTATAAAGGCCGGCAAAAACGCATTTCTCACGGATATAATCATATTATAGGTGTTTAATTTATCAAGCTGAGAGACCCCATCCAGGCTGTTGATTGGTTTCTTGTGGGTTTCGCTCAAAAGCCATCAAACAACTGGCTTGCCAGTTTTGAGACACGCCTGATTATACGGGTATGTGTCAAAACAGGGGGAGCCACAAAATGACGTTTTTCATTTTGGTTTCCTTCAACTCAGACATGTATCCTGAAGATTACAACTCGCGCGCAAACACAGACCCATATAGGGAGCCGTGCCCCGTGAACGCCACTACATCTTCACATTGGTGGCGAGACTCGTGGATTTGGAACTGGGCCAGGTGAAGGACCACAGGGAATACTTCTCCAAGTATGTGAACATCCTCACGAGAGTCACAGGCACGCTTCGTACTTTGGGGACTTGGGTGTATCACTTTTTTGACCAGACTTAAATGGGTGGTTGAAACAGGGAAACCCGTTGGTTGAAGTCTACCTTGCGGTCAACAAGTGACTGCTGTTTTCAGTATCAACCATGTTTTGAGAGTAGACGGAATAGTCTTGTTGCCAACAGCTGGCTGACAGTTTCTCGCTTACCTCACTGGGGAATGAGCAGCGGTCTAAAATTCCTGCAGTTGAAAGTAGTATTCGTGAGGAAATATGGATTTGGCCGATATGTTTTTTTGTGTTTTTTCCCCTAGGTCGTGGCGCTGCGAAAGGCTTCGCGGGAGGGTTTTATCTTTGCCCAGTCGCGAAAGGTCCGTGTAAGCGAAAACAAAGGTTGAAAGTTTGCAAAGCTCTGCTTTCACAATTTCGCTGCATTCACGCAAGCGAAAGCACATGAAAACTAGTTTCCACGGAATTCCTCAATCCGCGTAAGATTTGCGTAGGCGATTGCTATGTCGACACCACTCGCGGAAGCTACTCTCGCAGCCGTGGAAGCCACGGGTAGGCCCTTGCAAAAGGAATTTGGTAGTGTGTTGCGCTCACACAATGATTTAGAACAATGCTTAAATGACTTTTGATCTTCCGCTTTTCCAGTTTTGCCTACTCGGACCCAAAGCGAGGTCTGCTAGACACTCCTAGCGAGATTGTCGTGCTTGTTCTTCCTCCCGGGGTGATGCAAAGCCAAAGCTTTTGCAGAGCGGGCTCTATCCTCTTTTTGTTTTCGTGATATCTTTCCTGTTCGCGGGTTTCAGCAGACTTTGAAGCAAGATGGACATCTGGCAGACGCGGGATGAAGTGTCGAAAAGCAAATGGGTGGCTCAGACATGCTCAGGCTTGTGGAATAATGCGCCATAATGCGCCGGAAAGGTTTTTGTTTGCCCTTGTGGATGCACCATTTGTTGTGGGGACTTGTGATTTGATCAAGTGCATGTGTTTTTTTAGTTGTGCAGGTACAGACGTGATGTACCACTGTTGGAATGAGAATAGTATCTATCTATCTATCTATCTATCTATCTATCTATCTATCTATCTATCTATCTATCTATCTATCTATCTATCTATCTATCTATCTATCTATCTATCTATCTATCTATCTATCTATATATATATATATATGTATATAATACATTTATACACATACTACCCTGCATTGTATTCGGTATGCAAGCCTCCATACATCCCAAACCCATAACGGAACATGTCCTTGAGTTTGCGGGTTGGTTTGAAGGGACACCACATAAAGCGGCGGGCATTGTGTTCAAGGGAAGCCATTCCTGGAGGGTGCTCCATTTGGAGACACGCCTGGGTTTACATGTCAACGGCCCGAACATTTGAACCTTCCCCGCAAGCTTCCGCATCAAGGGTTTCTTAATCTAAAGCAAACAGGTTTGGAATTGTGATGGGCCCTATCGATTCGACATTGGGGGCTTTGGTTCCATCTCACATTGTGCGAACCTGTTTGGTCAAGCAAGTCAAGCAAGTCTGGGTCCAGTTATCCGCCTCCAAAGAGTTGGCACTTGTAACTTGGACTCGGCTATGGGGTTGCCAACGGGATTGGGGCGGTTTTGGAGCCTGGAGGGTGGGGAAGTCCCTGACGTCGGGAAGGTTTCGGGGACCAGGCAAGGGCATTGCCTTCTTGTTCCTTGGCTGCTCGCTCTTCTCCACGATGTGGGACAACCTGGCCGGCACCTGAGCAATCGGAGTCACGTTTGACCTGATTCGGCATTTTGGTTGATCGGAGTTTTGCTTGTTCTCAGACGGTAATATGACAATTATTCCACCGCTGATTGGTCCATTGCCGTATCCTGGACCTTCCCGCTGCTGCCAATGTCAACAGGGACCACCCTCACAAGGTGGTGGACGTAGAGAATGCAAGTGATGTGCACTAACATGTGTTTTGCTTTCCTTGGAGAGGCTCTCAAACACACACCTAGGAACCATCATGGAAGCATGATCCCGTGACCTGGATGTCTTGGTTTAGGGTTTGGGGTTGGTTGTTGGTTGCGCTCAACCCTTGTCTTGCTGGTCAATCTGGCATGAGGGAATGACTCCCTATGAACCCTCCACAAGGTGGCTTCCGTTAAAGGGATCCTCGGGGTCAATCCCCAAACCCCAAGTTTTCAGTGCGCGGCCGATTCTCCGAGTCTCAACGTCAGGAGAGCCCCGGCTTAGAGTTCCTGGCCTTCGTGCTGTGCATGGTGCCCGTGGTAGTTGGAGCCCGGCACCCCGGTTCTCGGCGTGTTTGCCTTTGGGTGACCTTACTGTTTTGGCAAGGCAATTGGATCGTGGGGATTTATTTCTGGGACCTCTTTTGGTGTTCTGTCGACGAGCAAAAGCTGACGCTACCTTTGTTCTGGTCACCCAGCTTTGGTCTACTTTGATTGGCTCCAGAAGTTCAGGCTGCAGGTCCTCTGGACAAGTGGGTTCCGTTGGAAACAGGTTGGGACTGGGGCCGTGGTCCCAGCCCGAACCGCAGCTGTGGGTTGAACGACACTTGCGTTTGGGGCTACCTTTTTGTGGGCTTGCAATGGGCCTCGCCTCGACTTCGACGCAAGCGTTCCCCAAGCGCCTGGATGAAACGCCGGGCTGGGTTTGGGTCTAGACTTGTTGCATCTAACTTGACCCCGACTTTGGTGGCTCGCCAGCAAAACAAGAGTCATCCCATGATCCGTTGTGGTTTGACACGACTGCGGCATTGAGTGTCCCCTGGAAAGAGGTGGCTCGCAGAAAATGTGTTTCGGTGTGATAGAACCTTACCAGTTTGGGTTATGGCTTGGAGGGTGGGGACTTGGCGCCTTAAAGAGGAATTGAGGACTCAAGTTCAGAATATCCAGGGGCAGGAGGGTGTGTTAGGTTTCGAAAGGGAAACCAACAGGAAGACCACATTTTGGGGGGTCCTCTACAAAAAGACTCGCCCAGGAATGGTAAGATGATAAACCGACGTCTAAAACGGACCTGGCGAAAGACTATTGGTTGGCAGTAGCCCAGAGCCTTCAGTGGAGTGGCTTAGAGCCTTCAGTGGAGTTGGGGTACATGTTGGATTACTAGACCTCAAGAAAACAACAGAACACACGGGTCTTTTGATTTTCCGCAAGACGCGGACCTTCAAGATGTCATTCTAGGTCGGGACTGAAACACGTGTGGAAGCACCCTACATGATTCTGGTGGTAGGAGGGCATCCCACGACAGGAGCCAGAAGTTTGCTACAGTCGCATGGTACTGGACTTGGGCTTGCTTGTTTGCTTGCTTGCTTGCTTGCTTGCTTGCTTGCTTGCTTGCTTGCTTGCAGGCTCACAACACAGGCTTGCATGAAGCCGCACCAAACACTACAACCACACAAGGGCACACTTGTGTTTCCTTGAAAAGGGCCAGCCAAACAGGGGAGGACCAATTGCTTTGAGAGGGCCATATCTAATTTGGTTGTTCGGATTCAACTTGCGATGATTATCTAGCGAGAGCACTCCAGATCAAAAGTTTGGTTGCCTCGGTTCACTTGGTGCCATCAACGGGGAGCACGCGGAACATCCACTGAAAATGGCATGTGGGCACTTCTATAATCATTGGATCTCCTGTGGCGTAACATTGCACCCCAAGCAACCACAGTTTGTAGACGAATCTTCTTTTGGAGGACCCTTTGTGCGGGCTTTATGGAGAGTGAAAGACTCGCCCCAAGCAACTTACCTTGTTTTCGATCTCAGCACTGCGTGCACTGAGATCGGAGCATTGGTGATCGGCTTCATCAAGAGCCAGAAGCTCAACAAAGCGCGGACGGCCTTGGCCCAGGCGCTCCGACAAGGGCTTCCAGCCTTGGCCCAGGTGGCGATTTAGATTTCCCCCTTGTTTTGAAGGGAATCTATCCCTACTGGAGATGTTTTTTTGTTTTCCAGGGAACAACCGCAAATGGAGGGGTGATATCCCCAACAACCCAACCCCCTAAGGGCATTCGGATCCGGAAGTTTCGGGCTGGATCTCGGGGCAAAGACCCCAAAGCTTGGAGCTGGCCACTCCAGAGGATTCCACTCGATTGAATGGGGGAACACCCTCGAGGTGGACATAGATTCATAGATTCCCATGTGACTGATGTGTTTCTCAAAGGGCTCCCAGTTGAAAAGAATGGTGCATAGCCAGTGACCAGATACCGGGATTTGTCCCTTTTTGTTCGTGTTCGACTGGGGCAGTTCCCTACTTTTGATTGAACCAGTCGAGTTTTGGGTTAGAAGCTTGGGAGCTCTCAGCTAGAAAGAAGCGGGGAGCCAACGGTACACTTGGGGCTTTCTTGGAAAAGGGCCACAAGTCCAGAGCAGCAAGTACAGCCTGGGTTCTCAGGGCCTTTAGACTTTAGCTTTTGGGCTGGAATTGCCTTGGGCTGGGGTGGAGACTGGAGACTGGAGACTGGGTTTCCATTTAGCCCACCAAAAGCCAAAACCTTTAGAAGATCTGAGGAAAGCTGAGCAGCCCTTGGCGTTTAGGTGAGCCGCGCTTTTGCCCTCGTCGCTGCTTGTCGATGGAGGTCGCGCTTTGGCTCAGTGCTTCTGACTATTGCGCCCAACGGCCCCAGTGGCGACTTGCTCTTCTGTTTCTGGTTGGGTGGGTCTCCCCTCAGGCCACGCACAAGCAGTTGCCGCAAGATGGATGCATGCCATGATTCGCTATTGCACACAGTTGGGGTAGCCATGGTGTTTACAAGTGCCTGAGTCCAGGCGAGGTTTGGCTGCTTCCACTTGGCAACTTGCCAGAAAGGTGACAGCAAAGGTCGTCCGGCTCCGACAATCATAGCATCAAACCAGCCCGCTTTGATTGCCGCATCTCCAGTTGTTTAGAATTCTGCGCCGAGGGGCTGATATGAACCATCCCTTCAGGAGGCCGAGAACGTTGGGGCGCTCTATGACCAGCATGCCAGAACCTACTCAGGGCCGCACGCCAGGGCCCGAGACAGTGCCGAGTGCTTTTCCGGGCGTGGGGGTTTCTGGGTTTTTTGGCCGCTGTTGATAATCACCCTTGGGATTCAGCAATCCGTTTTAACCAAAGCCAGCGGTAACCACGAAAAGCCGTTTTAACACATGAAAAATATGGGAATCGGAATTCCACCTTGTAGCCATAGCCACGCATGTCGTGCCGATCCCCTGTCAAGGCTGGTCTTCTGCAGGGCTGCCACGGCATTTTACTTTTCGGGTGGTGTAAGCGTCGCCCCGTGGGCGATCATTCAGCGCGACTTTAATCCTGGAGCACCCGTCGTTACCTAAATTTCTGCCCTTAGCCCAAACGTATTGCAAAACCAGGGGTCGTCACCAAATTATGGTAAACGTACACTTTTTCCTGCTTCGAGCGTTTTCCCAAAATCGGGCTGGTCGGTCCTCCAAGATAATCGGTCGTTGAATTTTCGAAAGGAGCGAGCAGATATCGAAGTGCAAAACAAGCGCAAATATCCGCAAAACGAGCGCAAATATCCGCAAACGAGCGCAAATTTAGAAAACGTAACAATGCCCGCCTTCCTTTGGATGGAAGAAGGGGATTTGGTCGAGCGTTTTTCGGGGGGCGAGCGTTCTTTGAAGGGTCGAGCAGAAATCGGTAATTCGAGCGTTTTTTTTCTCGTACCTGAAAAAAAGGGCACGTTGGGTGCCTCAGGATGGGACATATCCGAGAACATGATGTTTTTTGAGTATTTGTGGTGGGGTGATGTTTAAACAGGAGACACAAGAAGCCCTCGGTCCACGTTCTCCTTTGCGGGTTTTTACTCCGCCCCCCCTTTGCTTTTCTTTGTGCCGGGTGAGCCCTGAGGGTGGCCTCACCATGCTGGAATTCAGCGACCTGACCTTCAAGATCATCGGCTTCAAGTGGGAAGGCCGGGTTGCAAGGACGCGGGACCCGCCAGTCTCAGCTGAGGCAGCCTTTCGGAGTAAGGGAGGACATGATGGTGATGTTCTGGCCAAAAGGGCCAAACCGTTGCCGCATCTCCTCCGCTTAGGGAGAGCAAAAGGTCGGTTGCACCAGAAGGTTAGTTGGCCCTTGCAACTGGCTGAGAGGCTCGGATTCTCTGGGGCTCGGGAAGAGTGCCATCTTGGACAGGCGCCCTGTTCACTCCCAAGAAGATACATTGATTCAAAAAATGCAATAGACATTAGACATAAGGCGACTATATTGATCACTATAAACTTAAGGTCATAAGGAGCATCAAGCTAAGATTCAACAAGCAGAGTGTGATGCATGAAGACGTCTTGAGGGGCATGGCTGGATCAGACGCAATTTTGTTTTGCCAGAGTGGCGGGACTTGAATACACTGAATACTATGTCCATACGCACACGGTGTCACATTGATACAGGGTTTGTGTGTGTGTGAGCGCCTATCTCTTCCGAGTGCGCCTTGGTGAGGTCAAGAATCGCCCAAATTGGGCGCAGGTTTCCGGTTGGCTGGTGGTTCACAGGGACAGCCTGTGAACCCTCCATGTCCCTGCCTCTTCAAGCAGGGGCATCTTTAGATGGCTGGTTTCGTCTTGGTTTTGCTCTCAACCCCGTCCGCCGAAGACTTTCTAGTGAGGCCCTTCCCAACACACAGGTGTTTACCATTTCGGATCGTTGGGTTGAGAGGGGAGCTGGAAGACATCTATCTGAGGGAGGGTACCTTGAAGATCGATTTCCTTTGAAGGGACTCCCTGTCAGGTGAAAGTTTGTGGGAGTGAGGGTATATTGACTATTTGTGTTGCTTTTCGGCCTACCAGCAAGAACAACGTATTCTTTCTGCACTTGTTCGGTTGTAGGGAGCTGACCTTGGGCAGAACGAGCTTGCCCAGCGGGAAGTCCCCGGTGGAATTCCAGTCATTTCCTTTGCTGGGAGCTACCAGCTGCCCCGAATCCATCCTCGACCGATTCGGCGCGTCGGTGGTTCAGATTCGGACCTGAAGCTGATCTTCAACGCCCTGGTCAGCAACCCCGCGTGGCGCACCAATGCCACCAACTTCTCCCCAGGCCCGGAACCAAAGCAATCCATCCGGGAGTCCGAGGTGTGCTTCGTTTCAGTGTGGTACATGGATGTCGCAAACAGTAGATGTCCTTGGTTTCAGTTTGGGTCAAGGCTGGACACCGGTTTCACTTTGCTTTGATTTGATCACCTGAGCGGCCCTGCGAGCTAAGCCGCGAATTCGCCCGGGCAATGTTCATTGGTCCACCGGTTCCGTGTCAACATTGGGCACTATGTAAATCCTTGTGCGGTCTTCCAGAGTGCAGGCGCCTGCACGCCAACTATCGTGTTTGAGGACCTCGATTCTCAATCTCTGTTCATGACTTGCAATGGAGTGGGAATATTGCACATACCTCAAGGGGCTTGTATGTTTAGTTGATGACATAAAGAACAAATCACTCTGTAGAAGCAACGTACATGTTGTTTTTGTTTCCGCTGTTTGACCTGCCAAGACGACTAAAGTTCCCTCCCAATGCCTGGTGTCATGTTGTTTCCCTGTGATATGTACAACAGGAGGCGGCAGCAGATTCTACAGGCTGCAAGACAGCCATGTTTGTTTTTTGACCCGATGAGGCCTTTCACCTTTGTTATGTGAATGCCTGACGATACAATTGCCACAACAGCCACTAGGGGACCATCAAAGCCGATGCCATTTCCTGCAACGCCGATGGGGCACCATCCAAAACCGTTCCCATTTACAAACCGATAGGGTGCCATCAACACTGATCCCATTTTGAGGGGGTCGGCTTTTCTTGAAACCACCATCTAGGATCATTTAGGAGCTTCTTGCGGGTCTCACTTTGATGGGTGTTCTCTAGACTAGGGGCCTGCATCCAAGTGGTTGGTTCCTTTTTGTCGCCATTTCATACCACCAGGGGTTCCCGGTTTTGAGACACGCAAAAGAATTCAGCGAAGCCTAAAGAAACGCTTGCAGCTCGAGGCTTTGGCCAGCAGCAAGTGGAGATGGCCAAGATCCCCCGCGAGGATCGTGCGGCGAAATTCGGCATGCGGGTGAGTCACTGAGAAGAAGTCACACCCGGCAAAGGGTTGGATTAAGTCGGGGGCTTTGCTTTTCCGGTTTTGCCTTGGAGTGGTTGGGGGATGTTGGGGCCTTGGTCTTCCGCTGTTTCTGTGGCTCCCACAAATACCGCCCACGCGTCAAGATGCGGCACCCTGGCGGACATTCTCGGAAGGAAGCTCACAGATCAAAGACGAAGAGAGGAGAGTGCTTTGAGGCATGTTCAAAACCTGACGGACAGTTGACCAAGCAGCTCATTTTGGAGCTGACTTCTTGCGTCTTTCCAAGCGTCAAGAACGACTGTTCGGCTGACCGATGTGCAGCGCAGAGTCTATGGGTTCCGCACCAGCTTAGATGTCTGTTTGGATGTCGATGGATTATTGACCGTTCACAGATCAGAATTTCCGCCAGGAAACAGGACCCCTGACACAAACTCAGACTTTTTGCGTGGCCTTCGATCAGCGAGTCCTGATTTGCTCGTACCGGTCTGTACCACGCTTCAAGGCTTTGAATGGTACTCCGCAAATATGATTGAGTTGATTAAGGCTGTCAATTCGGAACCCTCGTAGACTGACCAATGGATCCTGTGATCGAACGGCCTGGACAGATGGCATGTTGAGAGACTTAGCAGCGTGCGGCGTGCGCATGGACCCGCAGGACCTGATTGGGTGGGTGAGGGGAGGTATGGTGCGTGCCTTAGATCTTTTGAGGAGTTTGGCTCAGAGGAGGCGACGTGTTCTTTTTAGGAGGGGCTCGTAGATTAGAATGGCCCTGGGTTGGTTGCTTTTTTGCTTGGTTGGTTCAGACGCAACACTGAGGTTTGGCTCTGAATGCCCGATTCGGTGAGACCCGTTCGGAGCGTCCGGTGATAAGCCGGAGGGCTGCGCATTCATTGAAGCACAGGGTGGAGGATCTTTTTCGTGCGGCTCGCAGCGTGTCGCGCAATATCGTGCATGGGGCAATTCGGTAATCAGGTGTCTCAAGCCCAGATGGTGCAGTGGCTGTGCATGCAGATTGGCACAGCATAGATGCAGCCTTTTTTGCGGCACAGACCACCTGCAGTCATTGAACTAATTAGATGTGGCTTGCTCAAGATGCTGACTCCTACACTTCACAGGGTCCAAAACAATATGTGTAGCCATCGAGCTAAGCCACGAGGCGTCGACCTCGTTTGTTGCAAGTGCTTGACCCAAAGCGGAAACTGAAAAGAGAAGCTCCCAAGGCAAACATGAACCCTGATATAGCTCTATCAAAGAGAGGTCTTCTACAGGGCCTTCAAATGAAAGATTCATGTTTTCTTTGGGAAGGTAAAGCTGCCGGTCGTGCTGATTTGCCTCCTTCCCCAAAATTTGGCCGTGACACTTAATCGTTGGAACACCCTCAAGACAAGGTTTGCACACAAATGATGTTCCCCAAAGCGTCCCCAACTAAAACTCTACCAGACATTTAGTTTTGACGACAATGGCGCTGCAGCCGTGATTTCAAGCTGTGGCTCCTTTTCTATGCGTTCTGTACGGAGAATCTGTCAGTGGGGCAGCTAACACGTCCCGTTCACCATGGTGTTTGCAAGTGAACCATCATGAGCCCAAGACCATGAGAATTTGAGGGATAAAAGTGTGGCTTTGGTCAGCAGTTTGCATGAGTTGGGAGTTTGTCAAATAGGCGTCCTCGGAAATTCTTGCTTCCCCTTTGGGTTCTCTTTAAATGCTAACCAAGAAAAGACGGTCCACCATTTTGAGGAACTTCCAGTTGAAAGCTGGAAGTTCAGAATATGTTGAGCCTTGCAGTCCTCGCACTGGACATTTTGCTCGAGAGTGATTTGTGGTTGACATCAGCACCTCTTGTTGTCATTTGCAAGCCCATTCGCACCAACCAGCTGTGAAGACTGCTTTGTGAGACATAGCACTTGCATCCCTTTGACTGAGGTGGGCCCACTTGTTTGGTTGTGCTGACGCAATGCTTACATAGGCCCAGTTGCAAGAAGAGAAAGAACCAAAGAAACCGGGCCTCACATTAGCCAACCATCCAAGAGAGCACACACAGCACCACACAGCCTGGGTATGTCTCAAAATAGTGAGACCCCCCAAAAATGTGTTTCATTGCTGGTTTCCATTTCAACCAGCAAACAAAGGGTACCAACACAAGCAAAAGCCCCTTGGTCCGCTTCCGCTTCGGCTGCCGGGGCTTCTCTTTTCAAAGGAAAGCGGCCATGAGGTAGTGCCGCCCTCAGGGAATGTACCCACACCCATGGCCCAGGTGTTTTAGGGTGTGATGTCAAGCAAGAAAGAAATAGTTGCCATGAAGCTCCCGGTGTTTCAACATGTCCCCTACAACAAGGGGCCTTGTCTCAATAAGCGCAAGCTTATCGCAAGCATGTGGCGAAGACGAGGTGATTAATGATTGTGACTATGTAGATGCTGATGTCACTGATATTCTGCACAAGTCCAGGGAATATTTTCCAACACAGATATCAGTGAGTCTGCTCCGTGTTCATAGCCTTTCAACCAGCCCTCCCAAGAGGGCATTCCTTCAAATGGTTTTTGGGGACCTTTCCATCAATTTATTGGCACCACAGACCCCTCCGAATGTTTGGTTTCACGAACTGGTACAGAGCCTCACTGTTCTTGGCACATTTTTTACTTGAGAGTTGTCCTTTTGGGTTCTGTGGAAGGACCCAACGACCCCTCGTGAGGGGAAGCGATGGGCATCATCCTGGCAAAGCGGGAGGAGGCCGGATGAGCCTTCCAGTTCCGAAGGTTCTGGAACTCCCGCTTTCCAGGGCTCATACATGTTGCAATCATTTGAAACATGGCTTTTTCAACACCAAAATAAAAGGAAACCACCATTTGCAAGGCAATGTTCAGGTGTAGAATGTAAGGATCCCTGTTTTCCCTTTCCATTTGGTGGCTAGGTCCCCCAGCTAGGTGCCCTTTCACCGTTTCTTTTTTGGGGGAGGGTTCCCCTACTAAAATAGACTACCGAAAAAGAGTACCCTTATTCTAACCTCTCTACTGGAGGATCTAGGTGGGTTCGGCACACCAAAAGATGGAATCGACCCCAAAAGGGACCACCCCTTTTCTACCACGCTAAGAATTTTGGGACCTCAAAACAGATGCCGCACATTGCTCTCTCGTATTTCACCATCATCTTGTGCAGGCAATTGACGGATGAGTGCCAAGCAAAGAATATTTGTGACAATTGGGCAGCGCCAACAACCCTTATGAAAGGAGTTAACTCAGGGCCTTTCCTAATGAAGCCTCGCGAAAACTAAAACGCAGTTCGCGAAAGCCCGCGAAAGCTTGCGGCACAAGTGGTGGAAGAAGAGCCCGCCACGAAAGCGTCGCGAAAGTGCATGTTTGCAGTTTCTGTGTTGCCCGCGAAAGCTCCGCGAAAGTGATCGTTACAAAACACATGCCTGCAAAAGTGAAACGCGTGGCCGCGGAAGCATCGCGAAAGGTTCCGCGAAAGTGGTTTGTTAGTAGATGGTGTTGTGTACCCTATTTTCGGCACCGCTCAATTGCATGCTTCGGCGCAGTCAAGCCCGCCAGGAGCGCAACGTGTTCAATCAGACCCGCGCACGTGCCAAGCTGAGAGCGACGAGTGCAGTGATTGCTGGTGGCTTCGACCTGTCTAGACTTAGGATACATTTTACATTGCACCAGTGTCTCAAAGTAAAGCAAATAGTACATTCTGTAACTGGGCCTAACTCTAATCATGCCGAGATGTTTCGCTTTGGTCTTCCATTGATTCAGGCGCCGCTGCTTACCTCGAGAAGTGCAGGCCCGACTACATCGAGGACACTGAGTGAGAACTATGACGCCGTGTGTGGGCTGTTTGTCCCAAAGTCGGGCGATTCATGTGCCACCCAGGCGTTTGGTCACAGGGGACGGAACATTTGACACCGGTGGTTTTAGCAAGTTCAAAGATATTGTCGGTCCGAGCATGTGTCTAGTTTGCAGAGTGCCGAAGTTGTGGGTAGGAAGAAGCGTTCCATAAATTGATAAGTGCGGGAATACTCACAAGTAAAACGTGATTATGCAAGCGTTTGACCCAGCACTTGGTCATTGGTTCAAGAAATCGAGTTCATCTCGCTCCCGAAACAACAGGCAGGAGCCGGCAACTGTTGCTCAAAAGGCGGAGTGGTCCATGCCGCCTGACACTGACACAGAGACACCGAGACACAGAGATACAGAGACAGAGGGTCCTTCTAATCGCATTTGAGGCTCATGAGGTGATAAGAGCGGTGAGAGTATTTGAGAGGTAGTTCATAATTGTTTGCTGGCTGGAAGGCGATAGGGGACGCATGCGACAGATATCCCCGCTTGGTGAAATCACCTATTGCGATTTGAGGTGTGTCAAGTGCGACAGCAGTGACCCATCTAATTCTGGGTTCATAGGCTTCAATACAGAGGATTCAACCACACCGACCTTGGCAAAGGCTTGGAGCAAGCCAAGTTCCCGGCGGCAACTTTTCCTGGCAAAAGGCTTAAGTATGCCCTAGCTGGAAAGGGCTACCTTGCTCAGGCCGGAAAAGTATAGGATTTATGTAACAGTTTTTCCTGGGGGATCCAGCGGTACATATCCCGGAAGCACCCTAGTCTTCCATCCAACAAGGAACCTGACTGGGGGGGCGGGGGTTCAGGCTAACATCATTTTCCGACAGAGCGACCTATTTCTGGCACACAATAGACAAAAGTGGTTGGGCCAAAACCCATTCTCCGGACGCTTCCTTGCTATAAACGCAAAAAAGACGCATCCTAGGGGTACATCAGCCCGAGGACGATGTGCTGTTGGGCCTTGCTCCTGCCGATGAGGAGTTGGCCCGAAGAATCGCATGCGCGCGGTGGGGATGTCTTACCTTTAAATGGTCTTCTTGAGGGATGAAACGCTCTCCAATTTGGACTGGCAGACATCCGAAGCTCTATGGGATCAACTAGTTGAAGTGGTGTGGGAATGAGGGGATTTGTCTCACTTCTACGATACAAGCAAACCTCCCCCTTTCAAGTAAAAAGAAGCAGTTGTTGGGAAAGCCTTATGGTGGTATACAGAACTATGCCCTCCATTTCTACGTTTGCGGGACCAGACCTCTTTTTTGACCTGAAAGCCATTGTTCGGAGCATTCTCATCTTTAGCACAAGAAAACAACGGCCGAGTTTCGACAGCCTTCCTTTTCTGTTCAAGAGGCGGGGAAGACCATGCTCCGCCCTAGCCGTGTATTTCCACATTACTTCAGCAGATGGAGAGAAGCCCTTCGAGAATCACGGGTTTCTGAAGACATCCGGAATCATCCGGATAAGCTGAGTTGGGCACATTTGCACATATGGGCAACATTTTTTTCAGTGCCCTAGGCGGGAATGCGGTTGTTTGATCATCCTTCAGCTGGGTCCCGGAGCCCTCCTAGGGAAACTTCTGGAGGGGTTGAAGGGGAAGATTGAAAGGAAACCCACAGAGAGGGTCAATCCCCAACTTGGGGGGTGCCCATGTTGCGACAGTCCCAATTGAAGCGCGGGACATCCGAGTGGCTGAAGAGGACGCTGAAGAGAAGGATGAGGAGGAGGATGCAGAGGAGAAGGCGGAGGCCGCGTGTTTTTCTGTGTTGCGTCTGACAGGCTGAGTGCTTTTTGGTTTTTGCCTGCTTGCGTGCTTGCTGTTGTTGTTTGTGGGTTGGGTTGCGTTGGGTTTGGTGGGGTGGAGGTATATATGTTAGAACTATAATCCGTTGTGTTGTTTAAAGGAAGCCAGAAATGGAGCAATAGTCGGTTGGTTTGCCGACTTTGACGACTCACTGCCAACTGAAGCAACGGCTACAAATTGAAAATTACATGTCAGTTCCATTGTTTCTGATAAAAGACATCGGGATGGAGGTGCAGCTTAGCTCTGACCCAGTGGCGCGTTGCGTTAAATAGGCTATATGAATATTCCCACCCCCGTAAATAGAATTGGGAGAGGGTGGGTGACCCCTGGAGATCTCCATGTGGGTGGTGAGCCATTTCCCTTTTCTGGGGAAGACCAGAAAAATGGAATTAGGGACGCCCCACCTGGTAGGATGGCGAAGTCATTGCACCTGGCTCCCTTCTGATAATAACATGTTTTTGTTTTAAATTCTTTCACTATCCCTGTCTAAGTATTTCGGCCCTGACGAACTATGTGGCTCGGGTCCACCTTCACACTTCCATGGGCTCGTGTTTTTCCTTCCAGGACTTGGCTCCTTTCGGGTCCCACGTGAAGGGGAGATCCGTATCTGCCAAAGCCGAAAGACCGCGGGGGGGCACAAGCCTCTCTGGCGTCCCAAGATTTGTCTCGGGACACATGTTCAGAAGGGAATCTTGTGTTTTGTGCGAAGCTTGCAAAGCTGGGGCGAAGACGTGGCGAAATCCCCCTGGTCCAACGACTCTTTCCTGCTTCGTTGACATTGGCAAGTAACCTTCGCCACCGAAACAGGTTGCCGTTTCCACAAAACGCCGCGTGGAAAACCAGGGAAGTAGGATCCGTGTGGCCTTGTTCTCCAAAGCTGAGAGGTGCAGGGCTTTGCGCCTGTTTCCCTGTCGGCTTTCAAGGAAACAAGTACATACTTTCAGCAATGGAAGCTAGGGCCCTTCAGCATGAGGACCGCAAATCCCTGCCACTTGTGTGTGTGAGACATTTGTCATGTCTCACAGGCAGCAGATCTGCAAATAGCTTGTGGGCGCGATTTCGAGGTTCTGGTTTTGGCGCATACCCATCGACCTTCCTGATTGGAGGTGTACAGTGAATGGGTTTAGCGGTCAGGATGACATTGACCTCGATGCCGATGAGGAGGATGAGGACAAAGAGGAGGACTGGCAGCTTGGCACGACGCAATCCACTCTGAAACTGGTTGTGCAGGAGGTCTATTCGGTTTGTTGCCTGACACTTCTTATTCTGTTGTTTGAAACGGAATGCTCCATGGCATATGGCAGAAGGGCCAAGATTGCATTTAGCCACTCATGTACGTTAGTGTGGACAGTGTGCCATAAGCAGGAGAGGGACTAATTACCTGACACAACCCCCCCTCTCATTATTCCTGGCCCTCTCCAGCCCTGGAAATAGAACATGCGATCTCCTACTTTCCTATTGCAGTCCTATTGGCCAGACCGGAATCCACAGAGGAAAGGACTGGAGAGGACTGGCCAGGTCCAGACTACTCCGAGGGGGCCTGGATGCTCCAAAATCCGGCTTACCCAAGCCTTTTTTCGACCTCGGGGGGGTTAATATCAAGTCTAGGGGTTAAGGTTGGCGTGAAGGTTGCCCCATGGTTTCCACCCACCGGCCCCAGACTTTCCCCACTGTAGCCGCTGGTGGAGAGGACGAGAAGAAGCTCATGGCCGAGGCCAGCTCCAGGCAGGGCCGCGGAAAGTTTTGCGAGGTTCGGGGTTCGAAGTGTTCTAGGGTTGATTCCCCATTCTTTTCAAGAACCGGCTGTTTCCCCTGGGGGTCTGATGGTTTTCTGGAAAGAAGGATCCCTGGAAAGAATGGAGAAGTGTCCCCTAGCTAGAATTGGAGAGTTGGGTGTGGTTGTCGAAAAAAGAGCAACCCCGAAATGGGTTGCCCTGGCAAATGGAAGCAACAACTACAACCTGCGGTCTTCTGATTTTTGCTTGACCCATACCCAGTTGATGTCTTAAGCAACCAGACCCTCCCTTTCCAGAGAACCAACCCTGCCAGTCAACGGGAACATCAATTGAGCGCCCAACAAAAAAGAACATCGGCTGTTCAAAATAGAACCCTGGCAAAAGGAAGCATGGACTGGAACCTGCGTTTTTGTTTCCTTTTTTTTTCTGGTGGTTTATTTTGACTCACACCCAAACAAGCTCCTGTATCATTCAACCTTTGCCGTGTGCCGCCGGCTCCTGGTCGCTTTTAGCTGGCCCTGCAGCCTGGGAGGCAGCCAGGTGTGTAGCAGGGCGACTGTTCAGAGCCATGTTGGTAGAACCAACACTCCACGGCCTGAGCGTATGTTGCAACTTGGGATAGTCCAAACGTGGAACTCTTCATTGGGAGGTCGACTTTTCCACTTTTGGACAGGACCTATGTAGATTATCACTGCCTCCCCGCTTGGGATCACGGCATCACTTGAACGGGTCCAACTCGTTTGGTACCTTTTCCTGCATGCTCATTTTGGCAAGCGTCGAGACTACGGGTGGTTGTGTGGATGGAACTGAACACCAGCATGAATCAAGCCATCCATTTGGAGATTTCCAACTACTGTTGACACACGAGTTCACATCTCTTTGTTGACAATCATTTCCGATTCAAGTACACATGGTGTTCAAAAGGGAAGCAGCCTTTTTCGAGCAGCCGTCCTTTCAAGCAAAGGACTGCCGCACCACGTAAAAAAAAAAAAACAGAAGAAGAAAACAACTACGACTACCAAAAGAAGAACACGATGCAAGGGGGGGCAAAGTCACGATAAGGAGCGAATAGAATGAGACTCTGTCCCATTCTCTTCAGAGTCCCTTTCTATTCGCGAATAGAATGGGACTCTGTCTCATTCTATTAAGAGTCTCATTCTATTCGCGAATAGAATGTGGTAGAGTCCCATTCTATTCGACGAATAGTATGGGGTTCTACTCCCCCCATTCTATTCCTGTATAGAGTCCCATTCCATTCCTGTGTAGAGTCCCATTCTATTCCTGTGTAGAGTGGAATGGGACTCTACCCCATTCTATTCGGGAAGAGAATAGAACTCTTACACCATGATAGAATGGGACTCTTTGCAGGAATAGAATGGGACTTACAAAGAGTCCCATTCTAGAATTGGAGTACGCAGGAATAGAAAGGGATGCTTTAATACAGGACTAGAATGGGACTACGAAAAAGTTCCATTCTATTCCTGTGTATAGAGGGATTTCAAAAATAGTCCCATTTTATTCAGAGTTAAATTCTATTCGCGAGCAGAATGGGACGGTACCCCATACTATTCGCGAATAGAATGGGACTCTACCTCGTTCTATTCGCGACTAGAATGGGATTCAAAACAATTCTAGTTCTTATCGTGACTTTCGCCCCCCGCTTGTCATGTGGTTTTGGCCGCCCCCTTTTTTTCTGTCGTGGTTGTGTTTTTTGATTCTTATCGTAGTTGCGGACCCCCCTCACTTTCAAGGGCGCGATTCTCGGTTCAGCTTGGTTGCCCTTGGGTGTGATCTTTAACCTTTCAGAAGCTGTTCCCCACTAGCCAGCAAACATTTGGACGCACTTGGAGGCATTACCGACTAGCTTCATCTGCACACTCGTTCGCGGCTCCTGGTCTAACCACCGACAGCGTTACGACCCATAGTTTTGCCGGACAGTTTGAAGCTTTGCAGGGGTCTAATCGGGCCAACCTAGGAAATGAGGGAATGACTCCTATAAAAACCATCCCCCATGTTTTCCTTGAAGAGAAACATTCCATTTCTCATTCCCTATTTATCGGAAGTCAAGGGACCAACCGGCTCAGGGCCAAGGAGCGCGTGCAAGCGGAGCTCAAGAAGTTTCGGCAGGCGGCTGTCAAAGGCGGCGGCCAGGGAGCGACCCGTCGGGGAATGGCCAGCGGTTGAACGAGCGGCCGCGCAAACCATTTGCCTCATTCTGTTTATGAGGGATCCTTCTTTTCGGGTATGGCCAAAAACGAATCGGATCCTCAGCAAAGCAGGGAAAGGCGAACAAGCCCAGGAATCTGTGTGGCTTCCGAAAAGAATGCTGAGGAACATGGTGGTGGAGACACCAGTCGAAGTATGACTGGACTCAAGCGTCCTCAAGAAACCACAAAACAACACATGGTCACGAGTGTGTGGCTACAAATTGCAAACTCAGCCTGATCTTGTTATTACAAACCAGTTGTGACTTTTGGGTTTCAGAGGTCCGGGGAGTTGAAGGCAAAGACCCTTTACTCTTCAATATGCTCTTGGCGATAAACTCGGCAGACGGCGAAGATCCCTTGGTGATTCTTGATATCAGGTGTTGTTTGTGCACTTTCTTTGGGGTCCTCACTTTGACTGTTTCTATGGTTTCTCAAGGTCAGAAAATGGGGTTCTTCCTTTTAGCCCACCACTTACGGGGTGACTTGCTTATGGTAAAGCAATGAGGCCAGTCTCTTTCCGTACATCAGCCAGTGCTGATTGGCGAAGGGGCCCTATTGTATAGGGTAGCCAAATGTGACCCCGCTTTCCAAAAGGCTGGCTGTTTCAGTTTGTTGATTGAACAAAGGCGCGCAGCAAGCACACACTCTAGGCATATCCATTTTCTGACGTGGTGCATTGCCAGCAGCACATAGGCTTTAGGTGCTGCCCACTTGACTGGCATGGCATGTGTGTGTGTGTGTGTCACCTAGAAGTTTCCGTGAGACCCAAGAGCCGCCGATATGTTGTTTCGCATATTCCAATATGATTTCCTCCCGAAATGTATGTTATGTTTTCTCACATTGTGGGAGTAATTTCGACACGTGTTGGTGAACCTGTCAACCCCCAGACCATGGGTAGTGGATTAGTCTGTCTTGCTTCGGGGGTGGTTAACGCACGTTTGGGCACGTGTCAAAATGACTGTTGTTGCATTTGTTTTACGTTTAAGGCACGCACATGATGACACCACTGGCGTTTGAGTCAAAAGGATCAGCTAGGAGCTGAGCTGGAGACGTGCTCCTACCAAGGATTCCCTGAAACAAAGCTGGGATATCAACCTATTCTAGGTCCCCCAGCAGTGCCCTTTTACCCTTTTTTGGGGAGGGTTCCCTCACTAAAATAGACTACAGAAAGAAAGGGTGCCCTGGTTCTAACCTCCCTACTGGAGGACGTAGTATTATATGATTCATGACCACAGGCTGTGGATGGACACGACATCTTGCACCTGTCGAGATCGATGATGAAGTATTGCACCTGCCGACTGGTGCGAAGCGGATGTTGTCCATGCACAGGAGGGGATTGTGCTAGGCACGTGAGGGGCACGGAGGGAGTTGCCGTGGGAGGCAATAGGTGGAAGCTCTTGCAGATGACCCGCTCTCCGCGGGTGCCTCAGACTCGCAAGTCCCCGTCTCTGCCTCGGAAGGCCTATCGCCAGGTTCCCAAAAGGGGGGCATGTCTAATCAATTCACCGGCCCGTGGTTACCAAGTGTGGAAGGCACCTGGTCGGTTCACGGAAACTGAGCATGGCTGTTTGTAAAAGATTGCTTTCAGGCCAGGAAGAATAATCATGATCGGCCAAAAAACTCGGGATTTGCCTGCCGTGGTTATTAACATTTGAATCCTGTGCTCGGGTATTCCACAACCATTGCAAGGGTTTCTGCTAAGGGACCATGCGCAGCTCTGACCATGGTGCAGACACGGCACACCGCGGGCACCACATTCTTCAGCTTGGGGTAGGTGTTGCCGCAAACTTCCGTGCTGCACCCATGATTCACGTGGGCCCTACCTTCCAGAGGTTGCATCCGCGTGGTCTACATTGGTGTACAATCAATCATATGCGCAAATGTATAATATATACATATATGTTTATATGTATACACATTTATACACTTAAGGTGCCCCCTCTCGATGGGACATCCGGTTGAGCACCAAGAACTTGCCAGCTGCTGAAAGCCCATGCTGAGTTTTGATCTTTGTACCCGCGAGCTGGGCGAGACGGCAATCGGCAAGCCGAGGCATTTGGCCATCGACTCCCCAGACCAGTACGGCCGGGCGCCGAGCCAGTTGATTCTCGATGCCGGGTCATCCCACTGGCAAAGGGACACCTCAACTGAGGTTTTCCAGCCGATTCCTTGAAGCTTCCCCAGGTGTTGAGAGCAAGTTCAACTGAATTTCATATGCCCCAGATGAGGCCTTTGAGTTTTTGGTGTCTAGCGGGTTCCACCTTCCCACGCGTTACCACTGACCCATCCGCTGGCTGTTCGGCACTCTCTTACATTGGTTTGTAAGTAAAAAGCTCGGAACTCCGGCTCTCAACGTCTGCCCCGAAAACTGATGTACATGTGCTCAGGCAGGTCCGGAAAGAGCTAGGTTTCAACGCGCACCGCAGGGAAGCACGGCGTTGCTTCAAAGAATTCGGAGGCCTCCAACATCAGTTCTTCCCGTTCGTGTCCCTTTTCGACCGCGTTTTTGTTTGGTTCATTCTGATAAATTTCCGCGCTGACATGGATTTCTTTGTCGCCTTCAGACGAAAAGGTTCGAAGCCCACGGCTCGCAGCGAGCCTTTGGCAGGGCGCACTGCCCTTCACCTAGCCTCGGAGCACGGGCAGCACCGGGCGGCCCGGGGTCCAAGCGCGGGGGCATCGTTTCGGGCGTTGGGCAGCGGGTCTGGATCAAGGGAATTCAACTTGATTGCCATTGAAGAACGGAACTTTTTAGACTTTAACTTTTTGGTTGAATTAAAGGGTTTTTCCACTAAACCCCAAAAAAGTTAAGCTTTTTGGAGGGGGGTCAACAGCAACTAAGCCAAGGGGCTGAATCCACTTCCATGGTGGAAGGGTTTAGGGTTTGGGGTGAGCCTTTGATCAGGGCCTTGGGGTGAAGTGATGTTAAGCAGGAATTGTTTGATCCCTGGGTGGCGAGCTTCTGGATTGTACAGTTGCGAATTCGCTGTTGTTTATGTCCTACCGAGTATGACCAACGGGGCACGCCTCCCACTGGACAGCTACGTGCTTGACATGCTATAGCAGGTAGCATGGAGCACATGATCTCTATTGTGTCACTAACTCATGATCTCTATTGTGTCACTAACTGTTCTTGTCCAAGCGGACCTCGCGAGAAGGACAGTCGACAGCTGTTAGCAGCCCTTCTACAGTAAACCAAAAGGAAAATAGCTCGTTCAATGCTGTATGGGCAATTGGGATGACTGGGGTTTGATTCAAACAAGACACTACGACGTGTACGACCCGCGACTTGGGAACTATCATGACTTACAAGCGAGGAAACATGTTCCATAGGGGCGGAGAAACAGATTTAAGGCCTCAAACCTGTTCCCATTTTGCCAGCAACCCGAAGGATCCACGAATCCCATGCGGATCTCCAGAGAAATGAGGTCTCTACACGTAGCTCCAAGTCAAGGGTGTCAACACTGACCGTCCTTTCGAAAATGGGACCACAAAATGGGCCCGAGCTTGATTGAGTCTCATGTTCCAAAACCCAAATTGGTGGCGTTCTCTAGGCTGGCCAAGAACCATCACCAAGGGTACCTTATTAATGTTGCCATTTTTGGAGAGATCTGGATTTCCTTGTTAATAACTTTGTGTCATGTGTTGATTTGTTGGTGCTGTTGTGTTAGATATTATTGTCCTCCAAAAACAAAATGCTAACTTGTCATATTGTTGTGTTATCATGGTCATGTTTTGTTCATTGTGAGCCACAATCAAAACGAGGGTAGATCAAGGTTAGTCAGGGGCAGTCCCAGCCAGAACTAGTTGCGGCCGCCTTTCTAATTCTTTACATGGTTCTGGGTTGACCAGGTTTTGATTGTGACTCATGTCAACTTGTGTCCTCCAAAGATCCACAGCACATTTCCGTTCGGCTTAGGTGGAGATCCTTCTGGGGGCGCGCTCACGCCATGCCGGCGCCCCGAACCCCGAGTGGTTCGTGGGTGTTCAACGAACATGGCTGTGGTTGTCAAAACCGTTTTGGGAGCCCATTTTGGTTGGTAGGTGAATTCACCACCCATTTTAGAACCTAATTTAGTGGGGATTGGTATGTTCACTGGGGGTACGATTTGGATTTTGACCCATGGCCACATGTTCTTCAGTATATGCGCCTGAAATCTGTGCCTTTTGACTCCTTTTTGCAGTTGGGTGAAAGTAGATATCACAGTTTTATCCCATTTGAGTCTAATCAGCCCCTTTACTTTCCCCACATATTGGGAATTGTTCCATCTATACTTTCACCCGGGCATAAATGGGGTCGCGAAACCACCCTGGTTGCGCGGACAGGCACTGGCAGAACGGTGCAACTTTTGGTAGGATAACTGAAACCCATTTTGGATGTGGGTTTGTGTACAAGGACATGGACCCCTCCGAAATGGGGGTTCTCGCCATCGTTCCCTGAATGGACACCTTCTTCGACATTGACACACGTGTACTTTTCAGGCTGCTTGGCCTCGGCATGCCTAGCGTATATGTATTGGTTCTTTGTTGGTTTTGTTTGTTTTGAGAAGGGGTTGCAAAAAGCAAAGCTGCTTGCTAACATACCAAAGGTTGAGAAGTTTGGATGTAAGCCCTTTGGTGAACACGGTCAGCTTGGAACGACTTGGACACAGCTCACAGACGATCATTTTTTTGGACACATATGCAGCAGAGACATGTGCAATCAGAAAATGAGATAGGTGCTTTGCAACATACCACCCGGACCCAAGTGCAAGGTGTACATAAAGTGGCATTCAAACATATGAGCACCAGGTTCAGGTTTTGTTTTTTTGTTGCAACCCCCCCAAACAACTGATCCAAGGTCACTTCAAAAGAGGGTGTTGGTCCGAATTCGGCTGCTCCGAACGAGGCTTGGCTTGAGGACAAAAGCATACAGTGTAAGAAATTGAACCGGACTCACTCCGGCGACATGATTGTTGATGCGACCTTTTTGCGGGATTGTTTTCACAAGAATCCGCAACAACCGCACCCCCCCAAAAAAATGTTAGGCGGCCAGGGTCGCCACTTATGTATTGAGACACATCCACATGCTCGATCACGCCCCAGGATATAAAGACCAAGATGGGCTGGACCCCGATGCACATCGCGGCTTTCCATGGCCAGGCAATGGCCAGCAGAGAAATCTTGTCGGGGGCCGCTGTTTTGGCTACAAACAGCAGCAAGAGGGGTCCATGCGTTTGTTGATTTTTCAAGGTATACGCTGTCTCCCACTAAGATGGCAATTGACAGGGGGCCCCTCCAAAAGGAATCGGATTTTCAAGGTACCCTCCTGCAGATGCCATGTTAGTTGGAGGAAGGGTAATTAGTATGGGTGGGCCATTGTGCTTACATTTCTGAAAGAGTACTGAAAGGCAATCAAACGCGTACCCCACAAGGGAAGCTTGAGATAGAATGCACAGGTGGAGTGAAGTATCCATGCCTGGCATGATTGTGCAGCATAGTTTGGACAGTTCCCGCAACCACAGCAAATTCCAAGGATTTTGTTTGCACTGAATCCCGTCAAGCAGCACAACAGGTCATCATTTGACTGGCATAGCTGTGCAATCTTTTGAACGCTAGACGAATTCCCTGATCCATGATTTCTTGAGCACCTCATTTCAGGCCCCTTTGAGCAACCCCGATCCTGCACACGCGGAGTACCCCATTCACCGATTCGTTTCAGCATGACTTGGGCAAGGCACGCCTCGCTTTTCCAACACTGAACCTGTTTCTTGAGCTCCAGTTTGCCTTGGTTCACCGTTATGGGCCCAAGCAAACATAGCCATGAGTCATAACCTATGGCTCCATTGTGGGGCGGATGAGCACCCCATGTACCACCTATGTTGATGTTCACCAGGGGTGCAGGGTGTTGACCCACAGCCACATGTCGGGGGTAGCAGCACGCAGCTTCCCCCCCACCGCACGGAACTTGCAGGTGGCCTGTATCAATCTTTTGCTGCAGTCCACGGCGGATGTGAACGCCAAGGCCAGGTTTTGTCGATGGAGATCACCGACATTTAGGTTTCTTTTGCGGTCTGTGAATGTAGCATACCAACGTGTACGTATATGTACATAGATATCACATGTATATATATATATATATGCATATACAAATATATGTATTGGGTATATTGCAATGTGTATGTTAACATTATATCACACCTTGGCAAAATATATTCGTTCCCACTCAAATTCAGAAATCCGTTTGTAGATATGCGAATACGGTCCCACAAAGCAACACATGGAACCTAATCATCATATTTAAGGAAGCCTCCTGTTGAGGGGCCGGGGAGTGCCTTGGCTCCTCCTCAAAGTGAAGGGGTCACACCCGGGCTCACTGCGACAGCGCGTGATGGCTGCTGCTGCTGCTGACTTGGCTTCTGAAACACAGGCGAATGGTTCATGGCCCAGATCCCTTGGTTGATGAATACTGCAAGGGGCGGAGTCAACTTGCGATTCGGGCGGGGGGGATTAACAGGAACGCCAACTGGTTGAGGGCAATAGGTCTGGGTGAATTATAACGACCTCACACAACCTCGCCCCAAATGGTGGTTTATGTGGGGAATAGCCCCCCAACCAACTTATTTCAGCTGGGTGAAATACTATAATTCACCCAGATAGGTCACATTTTGACAGGAGGCCCGTTGGGTGAAGCTCTTCCGGCGCGTGAGTTTGGGGCTTCTTTGCGTGACAGGCTCCTAATCCGGGATAGCACCAACATGGAGCCATTGCCATGGAGGGGAGCTGTCTGTGCTTCAAAGGCCGAGGAATACCAAGAATCCTTTGGTTCATTTTGCCAAGGGATGTTAGGACTGAAGATGTTTTTTGCCAACTAGTGGGTTTTCCGTATTAAACCACTAAAGGTTAAAAACAGAAAAACTTTTAGCAGGGGAGCAGAAAGCAACCGAGAATTCTTGCCTCATTTGCCATTTCAAGCGTTCCTGGTTCGTTCCGCTTGACGATTCCGCGCGAGATGCGTACGTCAGTGTTTGCTTGGCTTCTTGAGCAAGGACAAGCGTGGAAGTCATGCCAAGCAGGCCTGCAGGTCCTTTTCAAGAAGCATTGGCCGGGTTTCATCCTCATCGGACTGCCCAAGTGTTCAACATGCCAATGGATACTATGCATCTCCCCGAACACACGACTTGTACCATACATGTTGGTTAGGGCTCGCTCAAATGCAGTTGTGTGTTTGTGTGTTGCGTGATGTTGACATCATCGCGTTTGCAACGCTGTTTTCCATGTCAGAGGCAACCTTGAATGGAATGCTGAGCTGCAGGAGAAGCACGGCTGCACCCCGCTGATGTTTGCATCCTCATCTCCAAAGTGCAAACCTCAGCATCCAGGAAGTTGGCCCTGAAGCCCGCTGAGATGCATGCGTTGTCAGCCCCTCCAGGGATGTGCCCAAGAGGCTCGGGAGGCATCGATTTGATTTGGTGTTGGTCCGAATGACTGTAGAGCTACTTCAGATTTGTGTTCGGTTCTGACTAGGTACGCGTAGTGGCGTGGATTTCCCGGGATTGCTGGACTCATGTGTTGGCAGGCTGTTGTGAACAAGTCAATGTTGCAGATTCTGAAAAAGAACTTGTGGGGCTCACAGCCAAGAGGTTGGGACCGGCGCTCTTTTTGCCCCTTTTGATTGTGGGGGAAAGCGGGGATGTTTGTGGCCAGTGGGATAAAGCCATAGGTTTGTATCTTTCATCGCGACGCGGGTCATCCCTTTTTTGGCGTAGGAGTCTAGGCTTGCCACTTGTTAGGATAAAGTCCTCACGGGTTGGATGGGCACCCTTCAAAAAGCGCTGTTGCAGAAAAGGGCTAAGCACTTCCCCACAACTATGGGACGCTCATCCGATTTTTGAACATGTGTCATTCTGTGATTTAGATGGGGTGCTGGACATGTGCCTGGTCGGTAGTCAGTTGTTTGGATTTGAATGAATCTCTTTGGTGAGCGGCATATTGACATCCCTGAAAGGGGATACGGAGATGGCCCAGACGAGACCGGAATTTGGATTCCATCCATGTACAAAGATGCAGGATGAAGTCATAGACGACGTACAGCCCATTTCACAAATGATCAGGGAATCATAAGACTTTGGCGAAACATGGGTAGGTCCTTTTGTTTGTGGTCTTTGAGGGCACCCAAGAGGACAACCGAAGCCATTTTGAGGGTCCCCTAAAACGACATGCCATGGCACCAGGCTCTACATGGTGGACTTGGTCTCAAAGAAAGACCGAGCAAGGAGGCTCAAGGCCCGCAGGCAGCCCAGGCTGTTTCGCGCGGTTTGGGGCGGGTTGATCTCTAAGTGCATGCTCTTGTCTTGTCGGTAGGTCCACGCATGACCACGAGCCCTGCTGTCCACTTGATCAGTGAGGAAGGTACCTGTGCGTGCACACCACACAACACACACACACATATTTGCCGTGTTGCTTGATTTTCTCCCACCCCAGGCATTCCGTTGTCTCTTCATCATTTTAGTGAAGCCGCCCCAAGAAGATCAAGCTGCTTTCCCGGCGAAACTCAGCATGTGTCACCTGGATGTCCTCACCCGGTCGTGGAGAGCGCGTCCTGGCCCTTTGCTAAGGCCAAGACGCGCTCAAGGCACTCAGGGAGCAGGAAGAGGATCGCCTTGATGCGGACCTCGCAGGCCTTTGGGGGGGTTGGCTGCTTGGGTTGGGTCGAGCATGCTAGGATTCACTTCCTGAATTCTTGGACCTTGTACTTTTGGGGGTTGGAGCATTTTAGTGGCAAACGACAAGCCTGAACTTTTCTTTACCAACCCAGGAAGTGGGAGGAGCCCCATGCGAAGGAAAGTTTTACGAATCCCTTTAATTGGGCCCCTATGGTCTTTTCCCCGATAGCTCTCGGGAGTTTTGATGGTTTAACACGGAAAGCCCAGGGCTCACGGCTGGGCGGTTGAACCCGAGGGCTCACGGCTATCCTCCCAACCTCTTGGGTTTGACAAGGGCAACCAAAGGCCCAAAGGAAGACCACGACTGCGGGAATCCCCATCAGATCGATGGGCAAAATTGCCAGACTGGAGAACTGGAACTGAGGGCCTGCCCAACTTTGTTTCCCTGGTGGGGGAGGGGGAAATGTTGAGATGTTTGGGGGATTTCAAAAGCGCACCCAAAGATGTCTGAGGGAAATTGTGAGACCATGCGAGATGCTTCAGCGTTTTGTGGATGAGAGGCGAAACGACCTGATGGCCCCACCCCCAGCATCGCTGCTTTGTGGACTTGGGATTTTGGACATGGGGGTTGATCAAAGGGTCCTGTACTTGGGACGACCATGAGGGGAAACCAACAAAAAGAGGATATTCCCCACATGGGAGAAGTTACCCATGGTCATTTGGGGGCCGAGGGGATATTGATCAACCCCCACATGGGAAACAGCGGTGTGACGGTACCCTCCCACAAACATGAAAGTGGATAGAGGGGTTCCCCAAAAAGAAAGTCGTCTTCCAACCCCCTCCTGTCAGCTTCCATGTTAGTCTGAGGGAGTGTGGCCGGTCTTTGTATTCGTCCCATTCATCGTTCATCGTGCGCCAGCTGGCCTCGGCAAAGAGATGGGCGCCGGCAGCATCCAGACCACCGCCCCCAACGTGGCCGCCGGCCCAGATTGAGAGACCTGAGCTGCCCAAAACCGGGGTGCGAGTAGATGGCGCCTCTCCCTCACTTCACCAACAAAAACTTGTGCCGTCGACTTTCGCAGAGTTTCTGGCTCCCTTTGCGCCTTGTAGTTCCAGGGCTTCCAGCGTACAGACCCCTTTGGGAGCACAGCATTGTGTTGGGAACAGCCTATGCACCTCCATGATGGTGGGAGAGTAAACATCAGACTTGTTGGGCTTAGGTGAAGACGCCTCTGGGGTGATTGACGGCGGACATGTAGGAAACTCTGCGGAAGGGTATCACGAGAGTGTTGATTGCAACGGTCAGCTCACTTTCGAAGGAGCAGGCCGAGGTTGTACTGCATTGTTTTTTTACTATATTGGCAACTTGTCCGATTATGTTCTTTAGGAATCATATTTCATAAGATTGGTCCTGACTTTGTGCAAGGGATGGCTTTTGTAGCCGGCGTTTGTTACCAGGTGCAATCTAAACTGCTTGTTTTGAGAATATCTCTCACCCACTGAACAGGACCCGCGGAAAAGTATTAGCAGAAGCATCTTGACGTGGAAACTGTTCATGTTGGACATTGGAATGGTGTTCCTTTGTGAATTTCTGGGTGGCCGGAGCGAGCTTCATCCGAAATTTGTCGCCCAGCTGCAAGATGGAATGCGGTCAGTTTTCTGACCAGCTTCCGTTCTCCCAACATAATACTGATTGTATGGTTGCTTCGTCCAAGCGGAATTTGTGCATTTGTCCAATCACTCTCCAGGTTGGGCGACTTTCCGACAGTTTCCCTTTCATCGGACAAGCGGAATTTCTCCATTTTCCTTCTGGAGGTTTTCGCCCATGGGCAGTCTGGGACAGAGTGATGTCGCTGACCGGCTGAGAATCAATTGAACATTTTAATCAGACAGGTGCCCTTTGGCTGAGGACTCTTTCTTGGTGGAGAGCCCTCCTGATTAAAACAACAAAAGAAGAAAAACAATGACATCCGGCTGATTGATCAGCTGCCCTGCATGAACACCCAAGGGCTAGTTCCCTTCAAGACTATTTGGGTCAACAGGTACTTCACTAACAGGAAGGTGACCACATTCTGGTGCCGGGCTCTCAACTGGAATCTTCAACCAGCTCTCAACTGGTGCTGTCCATCGACTGTTTGCACGAACATTTTGGTGGATTTTGAAACAAGCACAGGTGAGGTGCCGTAAAGGAGGCAACCAGCACCCACGGCCGTGTGAAACTCCCCTGCTTCGTGCGCTTCCGGCTTCCCAGGTGTGGAAATTCTATCCCAACCGCATCGAGATACTGGTGCTGAACGCCCTGCTCTCATCGCCCAAGATCAAGGCGCGATGTGATCACGTGTTTCTTTTTTGTGGTGTCCAGGTGGCAAACAAATCGGGAAATGCACATTTGCGTGTCTCTTTTTGAGGGTATCCAAGTTTGGTTGCTTGTTGGGAATCCAAAAGGCAAACCACCATGTAGGGGTCCTCCAAAAAAGACGGACCCACATGACGACATTTCGAATGTGTTGGGAGCTTGGACCAACGAGTATTTCTGTGGACCTTGCAGCTGCCAGGGGCTAGAGACTCATTGCGTATAGGACGATAGCATGAAGAGATATACTAACAAAATAAACATCAACCAACCACCGGGATCCTCAACAAATACGGGTCCCACAAGGCATAGTTGCACAATAAAAACAAACCAGGTATCCCACTCCGGATTCCAAGACCTCCCCAAACCGTCAAGGCAACATTTGGTCTTTGGGGATCCAGGCGAGCACACGTGTTCGACAAGAGTCGATGCCCCAAAGAAGCCAAAGGACCGATTCCTTTGAGAACTACCCACTTAAAGGGGCATGGTGCTTAGTAAGTGGGTATTAACCAGGGCTACAACACACTGGTCATGGTTCCAAGTCTCCTAAGTGGGTGATAACCAGGCTTACTAACCACGTACCTGGCGTCCCCGATCAATCGCGACCCTTAAGCCGTCTCTGTCCCCAGGCCCGCCCCGCCCGATGCGTCGATGCATCTTTCTGGGGCGTGAGGTGGACGCCTTCGACGCGCGGCGGCGCACGGCGCTGCTCTACGCGGCGCGGTACGGGCGCACCTTCGCGGTGTCGCGGCTGCTGGACGCGCGGGCGAACATAGGCTTCGCGGACCGCGCGTCTTGGAGTGGTCCGGAGGGTCCAGGGGAGGAGGAGGCGATGTGAGGGGTGGGTGTGGCGCTTTTTTGGGGGTGCAGGGGGGGGTGGGGGTGGGGTGGGAGTGGGGTGGGGGTGGGATGGGTGGGTGGGTTGGGGGGGGGTTGGGGTCAGCATTTAGGTTGGAATTCGTGTCCAGCAACCACTTGTGAGGTGGTTCCCAATCCACAAACTCGTGGGGAGTCTAGAAGAGTTGCGAGGGGTTAAAAGGAACTGCAGGTTCAAATTCCTAGCTACCATTCCATGAGCCAGTGCTGGCGATGTCATGCATCTATTCCTCATGTAGATTGTGTTTAGCGGAATCTCCTTTCCCCCAAATGGGGTTCCATGCCAATTTACAGTAGTATCATAGAAGTATCTATCAGAAGTGTGCTAGCAACCAACGAATCCAGCAGAAGCAATCTGAATGACCATAGACCGAAAACATGGCACAGAGCTCAGACCTCACAGGGCGTGTTATATTTGGATCAAAGATCAGGCAGGTAACCCCTTGGTTCTTTGGATTGGAGGCTTGGGGACTTGCTTAACAAACCTTGGTGGCTGAACCCTTGGTTCTTGCGGTACATGGGAAGCTGCCTATCCTTCAAACCACTACCAAGTAGCTGTCTTGGTGCAGGTGGTGAATCAACTGGGGGGAAGGCAGGCCTGATTATTCTACCAGGATCAAAGTCAATTCCTATGTGGTAGCTAAAACGGAAGCCACCCCATTACCTAATTTTTCATCACCCCCAGAATGACCCAAATAAACCATCCCTTCTGGTTTCCTTTAGAATGATTCCCCAGGTTCATTCCCTCATTCCCTACCTATCGCACCAGCAAGTACTGACCCATGTGGTCGTGGGTCAACACCAATGGTACCATTTTGGAGTAGGTGCATTCACCACCCATTTTAGTCTATTTTAGTGGGGATCGGGATGTTCACTGGGGGTACGGGGGCTTTGATCCATAGCCGTGTAGGCTTTGGTTCATTTTGCTTGGATGTTAGGACTTTAACTTTTTGCCAACTAATCAGTTTTCCGTATTAAACCACTAACAGTTAAACACTTTTAGCAGGGGAGCAGATTTTGCAACGGAGGGTCGGGTAGGGGACCGGTCAGGAAGGCCAAGTGCCGCTCTTCGCGGCGGCCTGCAACGAGCACCTGGACACCGTGGATCTCTTGCTGCGGGCGGGGGCCAACATCAATACCACGGACCAGCGCGGGGCTCGGATTTTGGGGGGGCAGGGAGGCAGGGCCCAGTGAAGCCAAATCTCCAGCGAGCGCCCTTCAACGACTTTTTTGAGATGTGTGGAGCCATGCCCAAAAACCTTTTGATGTTTTGGTATTCTCTTTTGAATGTTTGGGTTACGGAAGGTACTTCCGGACACCTCTCCATGGGGCTTTGGAAGATGGCGACGAGAGCATGGCCAACCTCCTGCTGAAAGCTGGCGCCAGCGCCAGCCTCGGTCGATTTCGGTCGACTGCACACGTCGCGCTCGCTCGACCCCGTGCATGTTGGTTGAAAAACGCTTCGCACCGCAGGTGTCCGGCGAAATGACACCGCATGAGTGTGCAATTACTCTAGTATTTTGAGGCTACCTTGTTGTTGTTAGTTTGAAGGGAAACCGCCGTTTTCAGGGTCCAGGTTGTTTTGTTTGACGCATGCCTAAATGGAGAGTGCCCCGGAGGTGAATCTTGTTGCAACAGGTTGGCCGTGTCGCGGAGTTTGAGTGGAGCCCAGGTGAGGCCGTCAATGGGTTTGATCCACGTGGTTCAAACAAGAGTGTTGAAACCAGTTCAGGTCAATCTGTCCCTGGAGTGGTCAAGGACCATGTTCTCACCCCGGTTGCAAGTTCTCAGTCTCAAGTCATCAGTTGGCTGTGGGTCAAAATCGGTACCCAAAATGGCACCCTGGTAAATGGAAACAATAACTAAAAACTATCTTCCCCTGGTGGTTTAATTTTGACCCATACCCAGTTTGTGTATCCGAGGCGTGAACGCGTACGACTGTGAGGGTCGTACGCCCATCATGCTGGCCATGGACAAGGGGAACAGGCGATTGTTCTCCAAGATTGCCGGTGTCCCAGAGCCGATGATTCTCACTCCGAGTGAAAACCAACAATCCAATTAATGGGAGCCCCGGAATTCTCCACCCCAGGTTGATGAAAATTGGGGTGTTCCCGGTTTCGTTTTAGTGATTTTTTAGTGGGGATTCATCACTGTTGGAGGGGAACCCCCCCATATTGATAAATAGCGCTGGATTCATCCGGGGTCAACAAGTTGATCCAGGATTAGTCAACACATCCTATCAATAGGGGCTGGGGGCCCCTCCAAAGTGATACGATTGCCCACTAAACCCAGGAACACCACCATATAAAACAATCTGGGGTTGATTCATGTGGGATTAACGTCAATTGGAGGGGACAGCGATTGCGCAATTGAGTTTGTTTGCATAGGGGGCGTTATCAGGTGCCAGTCCACTTCCTATAGCCGATCTACCGGGGGATATTCGAAGTGTCCCTGACATGCGAATCCTTGTGGATGGGGTCAACGTGGCCTTATTTGAGACTGAGACATACGTATCCCCACCGTGTCTTGCAAGGTGTTGTTTTCTGCCGCCAGTCAGTCCACCCGCGCCTGGTGATTGCTGTATCCCACTACTACATCAAGTCAATCGCCGGTCTGAAGTCCTGCCCCGGCGACACATTTCTATTGTCTCAGGTCGAGAAGAAGTCGAACCTGGACGTCTTGGACAAGAGAGGATGGAACGTGGTCATCTATGCCATCGAGACACAAATGTTGACAGATGCCCTGGCCTCAGGATGACGTCATCGATAGAGATATGTTACTTGGTCTTACAGCAACTTCACAAAACGGGTTTGCGACCCTCACCGACCACAAAGGCTCCTGTTTATTCCTGTTTTAAATTCGCGTACCTCAGATTGGTGCATCGTTATGAGTGACCTGGTGACCTATGATCCCGTTGTGCTATGCTGAGTAGCTGTGTGACTTGCTGCCTCTGGCGCTCAAGCGCACTACCAACTACTTCCCTCTTCATCCACACGAGTTTGGGAATAGTCGGCCTTGTGGTACTGTAGTTAGCTCCATGTGCGATGTGAGTGTCCATGACCTGAGCCCCAGGTGTACCCACTTCTCATGAAGCTCAACAAGAACGCGGCCATCATCTTGCGCGCCCGAGATCCTCAGGCGAGAGGAAATTCTCGGTGCATTCGGGTGGGTTCAGCTCGGTTGTGGGTTCCAAAATAGTGCTTCGAACCCCATTTGCCCTTTGCGCGCTTGCCATGTCTTCAGCCCAAGTAAAATGTTGGCCCCTGTAGACCCTCCCCACTCAAGGGGGTCCACCAAAACCTGACCACCCACAGATATCCACAGCGCCTGACGCCCGACCCGGCCCTCGCTTTCCAATTTCCGCACGCGGCAGGGCTTGAACGCCTTGCACCACGCCACGCAGCTCGCGAACGCGGAGCTGTCCACGAAATGCGTCCAGCAGCTGGCGAACCTCGACTTCGAGGAGCGGACCGTTGGGGGGGAAATGTGGAAGATGACAGTAGCTTCCATTTGCTTAAACATATCCCGGAGATTCATTCTCCATTAATTTTGCCCAACACGCCCAAAGCTTGGGGAGATGCTTCACTGGTGGAACCACCCCCCTTCATTTGGGTATGGGTCAAAATTACACCAGCAGGAAATGGACCGCAGGCTTTAGTCCATGTTTCCACTTGCCAGGGCAAGCCATTTTGGGTACCTATTATTGACCCACAGCCATATTCATATCCTGGAGAGTCATTCTCCATGAATTTGGCCCAACACGCCCAAAGCTACCAGGAAACCAAAACACCTAGGAAAAGGCCGGAGAATGAATCTTCAAGGTGTTTTTTCTCTTTGTTTGTTGTTTTTGTTCTCCTGTTTGTTTTAAAGCAAATTTATCACTACCGGCAATATTACTTTAAAAACACGCCATCTCATGCCAGATGGAAGTAGCTTCCCTTGTGGTAGTGGTGTCACACAAACCCAATCGTGGATTGGGATGTGCAACCCAGGGTTCCCCTCAATTTGTTTTTACCACCAGGAAATGGACTGCAGGTTTTGGTCCTTGGTTCCATTTTCCAGGGCAAGCCATTTGGGTACCTATTTTTGACCCACAGCCATAGGTCCGGAACCCCAAACCGGCGGGGCCCCCCTTCGCAGCCGGCGCCAGGCTGCGAGCATTGGGGACTGCAACGGGGACACCGCCATCCACTCGGCGGCCGAACGGGGGCGATTGGAGGCCGACGGCGACAGCGCCAGGGTACCGTGGTGGAAGTCTTGGATGCGACCAGCGAACCCCGAACAACGGCTTTTGCCCGAAGACTGATTGTCAGCCTAATAGCCCTAATGATCAGTGCATTCCTCTTGAATTGAAGCTTTGGAAATCCACAGTTTGCCACAGCTTCAAAAGGACCACCCTGGTTTCCATGATCCGTTGCGTCTGTTTGGGGCCAACCCGTACTTTTGTTCAACGTACCGTTCGTCCAACAGTTGGGAAGGAAAAACGGATGGAAGCCGCTCACCGCCAGGTCTTGCGGATCTTCATCGACCGCCTGCCCTCGCTCGACTTCCTCAACAACCGAGGAGAGACGCCGCTTCACTACGCTGCGCTCGGGGGCCAAACCAAGCGCAAGCGGGCATAAACAGGCGGCACATATGTGCGGCACATGTCGAAGCGCTCAATACATCACACGACAAAACGGTTGCGTGTTCCCGCCCTTTGTTCCTTTTGTCTTTGGCTTCCTTTATGTCTGTCCTTCACTTGCAAAAAAATGGCTTTCGGGGAGTCTACCGGCCAAGATGGTCCACATGTTCAGTTTGGCCATCAGGAGACCACAAGAGAGGTGGGAAGTTGCACAAGGAAGCTTTGCCCAGTTAGTGAACGGTTAGCTCAAAGCAACTAGCGGAGTTGACTGCGTTAGGACCGAGCTTGCTTTCCAGCGACAATATGAAGTAAGTAAATACCACTATGTTTTAGCTAGTTGTGAGCAATTATTCGGTATGTACAGGTAGGCCATGCTTGCAACTTTCGACCCGGTCAAATAGAATCTAGTAGCCTCAAACGCAAGAACAGCGTGCAGTGGGCGCATCTATGCTGGCTTGACATGTTGTATACTTATACATTTGCCACACAGATTCTGCTAGTCTCCGGGAGAATTGAAGACATGGTCATTGTCCCCAGCCAGCTGTTGTTCAGGCATCACCAAAGCGGGGGAAGAAAAATAAATATGCGGGGCTGGCACTTCAAAACAATGACCACACCACACGGGTTTATTACATTGGTATCGTATCACGACCTTTGAACCTTCTGATTTCCTTTTAGACATGAGCCACAATCAAAACCCATGTAGATGAAGGTTAGTAAGGGACCATCCCAACCATAAATAGCTGCGGCCGCCTTCTTAATCCTTTACATGGTTCTGGGTTCACCATTTTTGTACTGGGTTTTGATTGCCACTCACATGGCCCCAAATGCCCAAAGCTTAGCCTTGAGCTTTCTGAGTCCATGGGTAACCGAGGTCGGGTTTCCTTTCGCAGCTTAAGCCGGAGGCCCTCGTGTCGAGGCAACAACTTGCGCCAGCCTCAAAAATAAATCGAGAGGCCCACGGATTTTCATGTAACCCGAAGGAACCCATCCCTGCTCCCCACTTAAAACAAGTGATTGGCGTCTCCACCTGGCTATGAACTTTGTTGGAGAAACACCCTCCCACATGAGTTTCCCATCTGATGTCCAGAATTTCGCACTAAATGTAAAGTTCGCACCCAAAGGGGGCCCACTAAACTTCAATCCATCCCCAAACAAGGGGTGAAAACACCTCAAAACTTCACAGTGGGCCCTCACCTCACCCGGGTTTTCCGGCACTATTTTCCCCCAGACCCCCATCCCACCCGGGTTTTCCGGCGCTTTTTTCCCCGTTTCCCCGGGGTTTCACCCGGGCGAGGCCTCGAAACGGCTCCGAGGCGCGGGGGGCACATGGCCTGCGTGGTGGCGCTGCTGCACGACGCGGGGCGCCAGGCCTCCTGCGACGCGGGGGCCATCGACTCCAATGGCCTGGGGAGCCAAGACCGGGGGACCGGGGGACCGGGGGGCCCAAACGGGGGGAGGGGGGAGGTTGGGGGTGGTTAGCTGGGGGTGGGAGTGGTTAGTTAGGGGGGGGGGGGTTGGCTTTGGGGGAAGGGGGCGGGGGATTGGCTTTCAGTTGTGAAAGGGGGTTCAACCACTGCTTCAAGTTCTAGTTGAAAGCGGGCAATTGGGCGATGGGGGAGCGCTTTTTGGTTTGGCGGGTTACTGCAACGTGAAGACATAAAAACATGCGATAGCCTTTGCAGGGTCTTTGTGTTTTCTTTTGCATGGAAGGGTCTAGTGAGATGAGGACCAAAAAGATGATCGGTGAGCAGAGCTGTGCCCGAGAGTAGGGGACCGGGATATAGGATCTCCAGCTAGGATTTGGGATGGCGATTGATAGATATCACATGTGTGTCTCTTTTGGGCATGTGAGTCTTGATCCTAATACTTTGCATGGACAAAATCCATTTCGCACCACGCAAAAACCATGGTTGAAGCCCTTGTTTGCTGGCATTTACCGGGTGAATCGAATCATTCCAGGGTTTCTGAAGGGTGGCGCGACATAGAATTCCGCAACCATCCACAGTATGTTGAGGGGAAAAGCACATTCTTTCCCCGGTGACTCAGGTTGGAACCTGCTGATGCACGCCTGCGTGTCCGGCCACCTGGACTTGGTGAACCTCTTGCTCCAGAACCGCGAGGTGCGAGGTCCAGGTGCCTTGCGTTGGGTCTGAGATAGACGTGCCACGCGCTCAGGCCGGTCGATTTTCCCAGAAGGGACAGACAGTTTCAGGGGAAGAGAACAATCCCCCCTGAAGTCCCGGTGATTTCCAGCAGTTGTTGCACTAATCGCAGGATGCTTGGATGGGTCTGTCAGGCAGGTGCTGGTAGCAGGCAATGAAGTACTCTCTGGATTTGCCGTTTGTTTTAGGTTGGGATGCTTTTTTGTCTAGGGAACATGTAGCATGTCGTGCTATGGCGTGAATCTACTTTCGCCATCATTCACCCAACTGGACCCAACAAGCTGTGAGCATGGGCGCAAGGGCGAGATCACCCCCCCTGATGCCACTTAATGTCATATCAGCAAGCGTTTTTGTTCAAGGGGGTCGGGTTGCAAGTGAACCGACATGACACCAATACCATTTTTGGGCATCCTTTTGACACATTGGATCACCCTTTTCGGGGTTTGTTGAAAGGGAACCAAAAGGACAACCATCGGCTTTGGGTGTCCCCGTGTTTAAACACACACACCCATTCCCAAATTTGCAAACACAACTGGGCCTCAAGTGACATAGTTGGAGGCAAGGAGAAACACCGACAGGGTACACGAGCCATGCATCCACGAGTCCATGAGCCTTTTTTTCAGGCTGCGACTTGGCACTGGCTCGAAGTTCTCATCCCGGCCATCCGGTTCCTTAGCCTTTCAGTTGTTTTAGTGTTTAGTGGGGGTTTCCATTTGACCCACAAAAAATGAAACTTTTGGCGGGGGCTCTGAGGACAGCCCAGTCAGGTTCAAGGTAGCCTCTTGAACTCTGCATCCTTTCGGCTCCAGCCATCGGCCTTTCCCCCAAATCCGACCCGCCCAGAGAGGTTTAGCAGGCGTTCGTGCCTGTCTATCCAAACCAGAGGCGCGATGGACATGGCCAGCTCGGGTTTGTACATCTTGGCCAACACCCAGTTCTTCTCCACCGCCTTCCAGTTCTGCAGCGGCCCCACACTCTGCAGCTTGCGCGCCTGCAACCGCCTGCTGGCAGAAGAACTCCCAAAGACCTCCCACCTGTGGCAGGAGCTGGTGGCCCAGTCGACGGCAGTGCTGCGACCTATGCCAACCACGCACATGCACCAGGCTGGGCGGGCACAGGGGTTGAGAAGAGAATAGGTATATCCTAAAGGAGATTCAAGCACTATGTCCGTATCAGCATTTTCGTCATTGTTGTCGTTGTTGTCGGCGTCGTCATCATCACCGGCGTCATCATCATCATCATCATCATCATCATCATCATCATCATCATCATCATCATCATCATCATCATCATCATCATCATCATCATCATCATCATCATCATGGGTTCCCATCAAGCAATCCCAAGACATTGATGGTTGATTTGAAAAGCATACCGCAACACAGAGCTCTCTTCTGCGGCAGCACCATGACTTCAGCATGAACATGGCTTGCATTGCATTGAGTCTTCATGATGCAGGCAAGCCATGATCAATACTCATTGCTTGTCCCAGACTAGCATACGCACTTGGTAAGTAGAAGATCGTCTACGAACGGAACAGTGGTATAAGCGCAACCAAAACAAATGATGACTAAGGCACATGCTGAACACTCGCCCTTGCGCACCGTGCCATGGCCAGAGCACCCTTTGACTGGGTCTGGTTCTTAGGTAATTTAGACAGCATTTACACGGCACCTATTGCTTGAACTTCGGCTTTTTCTTTTGTAAAGGGATTTAGGTTTGACGGCAACCAACAGTAAACCGAATCGAATATCAAAACAAGTTGATAGCGCTGGATGTGTTCTTGCGTAGCTTTTAAACACCTGCTCCATGCATGGTTGTTGTTGGGAAACATTTCGTCAACCATTTCACATTTTTGCTTATTGTGGTTTAGTGGTTGAAATCCAACCACCTAACTACTAACATTAAGAAATTGTTGCTCCCTTTCTAACGTCAACCAAGCATGTTTGGAGGTCTAGTTGAGAAAAGACCCATGTCAGATGCTTGAGCCTCGAGGCAATCCGCCTGGGCCGCGTTCTGGAGCGCTGCTCCCGCTGCGGCGATGCCGGTGGTGAATCAGAGGACAAAAGGCAGGGCGAAGCGGCGAAAGCGGACTTCCAGTGGTCCCGTGTCCCTTCTTGTCAGGGGTTTTCCGTGTTTTTTTTGCGTGATTTGGAGGGGGCGTTCCTTTTTTTGGAGTGGGCCCTCATTTTGATTTGTCCTGTTTGCTTGGGGGGGGGTCCTCTAAAACTCAATGGCGCCCCCCCTTCTTTTGCCGTGGCCGCTGGTCCGTGAGTTGGCCATGCCCCAAAATGAAGTGAGAACGTAGCTTTGGGATGGGAATTGTTTGGTATCACAGATTTGTTTGGACCCGTGCGGATGCTCACCCGAGGCTTGGGAAAGTGGAACGCTGGGAGGGAACATGGGTCAAGTTTAGTTCTTGGAAGGTTTTCCGTCCACGGACCCCCTTTTGTGTAAGCAAGCCTGCATGTCCAGCCACATATCCCAGTGTGTTTCCCCAAACAAGTTGAGAACGGTACTGTACTTGGTTGCTCTTTGGGTGTGTTTATCAACCTTTTCAATTCGCCAAGACTTACACTCCTTGCAGGTCGAGAAGCAGCCAGTGATGTTAGTTGCGGGCCTTGTAGCTTGTCAGGCTCCGTCATCGAATCATCGTCACGGGAGCAAGGCACAGCGGGGTGTCCACCCTGGCGCCTTCGCCGGAGCGGGCGAAGGTTGAAGGGGCCCAACCCAAGAAGGTGGCGTTCCTATTGATTTGTTTTAAAGCCAAGTTTAAGCGGGTACCCGTTAAAAACGAGAAAGCACGAACCCAGCTTGGCGACGTGTGTTTGCACGTGGTTTGAGTGGCTGAAATTTGGGTCCCCCCCCCGTTTCGTCCGAACCATAGACTGCCAGTGATTTGGTCGCGTGAGCTCTGTTAGACACCCCTACCGCCAACAAGCTCGCAAAAGTTGGGTTTGGTGCAAATAGCCTCGCGAGGGAGCGACAGTCATGCAGATACAGATATGATACACAGGCATGTATACACATACTTTATTTTCACTTCCTGAGTTCATGGACTGATATAACACTTTTTGGGTAGACCATTTTAGTGGCAACAAAAAACGTTCAACGCGTTTTCTGGCCAATCCACTCAGGAAGTGAGTTATAGATAACTACATATACAGAGAAGAGTCATATGCGCATATTTTCATCGGGTTTCGTGGCACCCAGGTGCAGCTCATGGCAGAGAAGTCAACGAACGAGCCCTTTTCAGGGATTGCAGACATGTCGGTGTCGAGCTTTGGGGTGGATTTGGAGGGACATCCGCTGAAAATCTCCGTGGTCGACAAGCGCTCTACCGCCATTTCCACGCCCTTCTCTGCGGCTCTGCGCCTTCGAAAATAAATGGGGTTCGTTTTGGCAAGTTAGTCAGATTCTTGGTGACCAGTGACTAGATGTTTCTGGATTTGCCTGAAGGCCCTAAAAGCATCCTGGCAGGTTGACTGGATGTTGCTGCATTTCGCAGGCCCGAAGTTGTCTGATCAGGTCAGCGGGTCCTTAAACGGGGCGTATAAGGGACCGCTGCATGCAGTTTGGCCCGGTAGATAACCAAGAGAGAGAACCAATGGGCCGCTGCCAGCCGCCAATTCAATGCGCTGAAGAGGGCTCCCAAAAACGTCCAGTTGCCGTCGATGGTGTCGGGTGCGTTGTGGCTATGGCTCTCGGTGTGTCCACTCAAGTGTTCAAACTCTATTAGATGGACGCCTTTAGTTTGTCTTCCAACATCATGGTCACACGTTCCGACAGTGTACATGGAAGTCTGGCTCGTTCTCAAGTTGGCTAATCTTTGCTAGATGAAAACAACCCCCGGCATCTGGCTGAAATATTGTATGTCGAGTGCCATCCGCCATTCTGGGGGAAGATCTGAGGTATAACGGCCACACAGCCGCCTTGTTCGTGTTCGACGCGGGCAACATGGAGTCCCTGCAAACAGCCGTCAGGTGCATCGAAGACTTGAAGCAAACAGTCGGCTCACGCAAGTTCCAGCAAATGCCCAAACTGCTGGTGTGCCACTCACCTGCGCTGGTTGGGGCGGTCGTTTTTGTGCCAGAAGCATGGTGTGTTTCCTTTGTCAAAGAGATGCTGTTGACATTTGGTTGGTGTGGTTCTCTGCAAATCACAGAGGCGGAAGTCTGTCAGGAATTCACTCAGACTCCTTTTGGGATTTTGGGTGCACTTTTGGTCTTTAGAAGGGACTCTTTACAGAGACGCGGGACCCCAAAATTGGTTGGCTTTCTTTTGTTTCCCAGCACCAACGAAAAGGCGTAGCCTTGAGGGATATTTCGTTTTAAGCCAACCTCCTTGCCAGCCCAACCCTGAGGGTACCAACTCCTGAAAATTAAGAACAAAACAAACACACATGTTTCCAATGAATTGGGGGGACGGGTATCAACTCATACTTTGGATGGAGGAAGTCCAGTTCGCAGCACCTAAGAAGCCGTGGTTGAAACTATTGTTGGCATTGACGGCGGAATCATCATTCTAGATTTCTTAGGTTGTGCGAACGGATTGTCCATCCACAGGTTTTGCGCTGAGACCACCCTTTGGGTGGGGGGGGGGGGGAGGGTCATTTTGAGGATGTCACTTTCATGGACCCAGATGCCCTTTTCTACATTCGGACTGGTTGCACCTGCAGTTCCTTTGATGGAAAACCCTGGGATGATGCATCAGGAGTGACCAATCCCTCAGTTTGCACAGCCCGGACGAATCTAGTTATCACCAATTGGTGGTTTGGGTTGGTGGTCTGGCTTTGGATCTGACACTTTGGTTCTTGCGGGCAGATGATGAAAAGCTTAGCCCGAAACACCAAGCCCAAACCCAGGTGGCTCCAAACCGCTCAGAGAGAAACTGACCTTCGGGAAGCCAGAGCCAGCGTTTTTGTTGGGTCATTTTTTGGACACCTCCCCCAATTTCTG